GGCACCAGAACTGAGGCGCAACCCAGTATGTGTGCAAAGCATCAAGACAGCGAAGAGTAGAAGGAGAAGCAGACGAGTAAGCAGGGCAACCATAATCGAGCTTAGACAGGACGAGAGAGAGGAATGTAAAGCAAGGAGAGTGCGCCTATCTGCCCCCCAAGAAGTATGGGACAAGACCCGAAGGAGGGTAAGGGCCTTAGAGCACTCAACACGGAGGTAAGAGATATGGGGAGACCAAGACAAACGAGTGTCAAGGAATAACCCCAAAAGCTTCACGGAATCTTTGTATTCAAGGGGATGACCATAAAGTGACAAAGAGGGACGAAGAACAACCCGTTTCCGCGTAAAAGTCATGGCACAAGTCTTAGAAGTAGAGAACTTGAAGCCATGACCTGTGGCCCAAGACGACACGGCATCAATTGCAAGTTGAAGCCGGCGTTGAAGGAGAGGCGAATCATCACCCTGACAACAAAGGGTAAGATCATCGACATAGAGAGCGGAGAAGACACCAGAAGGAAGAGAGGAAAGAAGACCATTGAGGGCAACCAGAAAAAGAGTAGTGCTCAGAACACTACCCTGGGGCACACCTTCGTATTGCTGAAAAGAGGGAGAGAGAGCGGTACCAAGGCGCACCCGAAAGGAACGACGAGAGAGGAAGCTGCGGAGAAAGAGAGGGAGACGACCACGAAGGCCAAAAGAATGAAGTTGAGATAGGATATGATAACGCCAAGTGGTGTCGTAAGCCTTTTCTAGGTCAAAAAGGACGGCAACAACGGAGGTCTTCGCAGCAAAAGCAGTACGAATATAGACCTCCAAGTTCACCAGGACATCTGTCGTGCTGCGGCACTTGCGGAAACCAAATTGAGAAGGGGAGAGGAGGTGATGGTGTTCCAGGAACCACATCAGACGAACGTTAACCATACGTTCAAAGAGTTTGCAGACACAACTTGTGAGAGCAATAGGGCGAAAGTCCTTAGGGGAAGTACCCAGAGACCCCGGTTTGCGAACAGGGAGGACAACGGCATCGAGCCAGTCCTCAGGGACTGACGACGACTCCCAGATCCGATTATACAGACTCAGTAAATACCGAGACGTGCTCGGAGGGAGATGGCGAAGCATCTCATAATGAATACCATCGGAGCCCGCCGCCGTAGAACCGCAGAGGGCCAGGGCAGAACGAAGTTCAGAGAGAGAGAAGGGATCATTATAGGGAAGCTGAAGATGAGTGCAGAAATCTAAAGGACGAGACTCAAGGACAGGTTTACGAAGAAGGAAAGATTGGGGAAGATGAAGACCAGAGCTAACAGAAGAAAAGTGGGAACCCAGTTCGGAAGCGACCTGCAACGGGTCCGCCACAAGAGTATCATGGAGGTGAAGGACCGGTGAAACATCGGGAACGAACTTACCCGCTATCTTGCGGATACGCTTCCAGATCTGGGCCAGAGGGGTTTCGGACGTAATTGTTGAGACATAAGATGCCCAACATTCACGTTTAGCCGTACGGATGGCCCTACGGGCCACCGCACTCGCTTTCCGAAAGAAAAGAAAAGAATCGGTCGTCTGCCTACGGCGGTGCCTCTTCCAGGCTGCACGCTAAGCCCCAAAATCATCTCAAGATGTGTATATGTGCTATATATATCATAAGCATGCATTATAGTTGATAATATACAGTATATACAATAGGATCATACATAAGATCCTAAGGGTAATTGACACAGTAGACAGCAGAATTGTTTAAAACCAGGAACAGCAGAACGAGGGTTTATTGATGGAAACTCGAGACGCATACGACACAGGCGCCAGAGAAAACTTTTTTAGTAGAGCTGTCAATAAGTATAACAAGCTAGGTGTAGAAGTCATTGAAGCTAATTAAATTCAACGTTTTAAATGTAAATATGATTAATGTGTGATAAATAAGTCATCGCAGTAATCTAAGTATCTTTGTTCTGTCTTAGGGGGATAAACCCATATTGGAATAATCAACAACAAATTAGTGAAAATAATATTTTAAGTCTGCTAGAATTCTAATTAGCATGTAATTCTACTGCGGATCTCCTGGATATATAGGTAACAGAATAATTGTGTTTACAGATATTGAGAAATCATGTAATGGTGCGGGTGGGAGGTGGCTGGGACACACTTGAGCACTACCTGGACAAGCATGATCCATGCAGGTGTCGCCAAGGTCAGTGTTATTACCTCCTTGCTACATCTGTTTTGTCATTTTGTCTCAAACATGTTACTTTTACACAAGCTTATTCCGAGTGTTGACATAAAAATTATTTTAAATAAACAGGCAAAAAAAATGAGAATATAGGATCATTATTCTAATTATAAATTTCTTCGTTACATTCCCAATTTATAACTCTTTCGAACATACAGGTCACCGAGTTGCAGTTGGATCTCGTGTGGGGTTCAAGACGTCTACCAGTGGTCAAGAACGGCAATTGATGAATGTTACATACGAAAGGTTAGTTCATTTTCCCGACAGGTTTACTAGAATACTCATAACAGCATACTTACATCTGCCTTAAATTTCTTTTCAAAGACCTTTACTGTACAGTATATGCTGTCATAATGATATTTATAATTACAAACAAATTTTTTTTTAATATTATGGCTTATTTGACTAAACTAAAATGGTACTTTGTAGAGTCCTTTACAATGTTGACCAAACCACACACTAGAAACTGAAGAGACGACGTTTCGGTCTGTCCTGGACCATTGATCAAGTCTATCCACAATCGACTTGAGAATGGTCCAGTATGGACCGAAGCGTCGTCTTCTCTTCATTTTCTAGTGTGTGGTTTGGTCAACATATTTCAACAATGTTATTGTGACTCCTCGTCTCCTTTACAATACTGCATTAGGTACATAGTCATTGTGGAATGCTTCAAAGCTTAGCTTTAGGGTTACCTTGTATGGTTACTGAAATAATTCCTTCATCTTTGTAGTGATGTTTTAAGTTTGGAAATATATACAGTACTGTAATTGATAGGAAATCAATATTAATAGCCCTGTTGAAAGAATATCATAGTAGAAAATATGATGGCAAATGGTTATGCAGTGTACTTGTGATTTTTCTATGGCTATAGGGCTTAAGCTTCACAAATTTGATATACAAGGTTGAAGATAAAAAAATTTTATCTGTCTAGAAATATAGAGATCTCTTGATACCTAGATATCTATTACATGCAATTATAATTTGTTTATTGTGCACCCTACACCCATCCAGAGGGTAGTGGTGAAATAAAGGGTTACAATCAGCAAAACAGTTTTAACATATCTTCCAAATTTTATCTGATTTTCTCTTATGCATGAATGAATTTGACAAGAATGGGTTGCATATATGTAATGTAAAATGTATTCACCTTTTTGGAACAAGGGTTCAACTTGTCCAGGTACAGTAATACCTCATCATTACACATTAAGTATCTAATCTTGTAGAAAAATATCTCGGATTTTGCTTTTTAATGAAGGAAATATTAGTTTTCTGTCTACACTTTTTTTCTGGATAAACAGTTTAAAATCCTCCCAGTGATAATTTTCAGTTAAATGCTCGTCTAAAAGTAAACTGTGTTGGTCATCATACAAGTATATGACCTCTTATGCTCGATAACATGACATACAAGCAACTCTCCTTGTCTTTAGTCTATATACTGCTGAAGACACTTCCAGTTTTGGAGCAAAAATATTATTTAAATATTCAAGTGATTTGTCATAAAGTTGAATATATAGCTCATCGTATTTTAACTAAAGTCAAAATATTTTTCCCTCTATCTAGAAAAAAAACAGGTGGTCAAATTATATCAGTACAATCAAGCAGAGACAGAGTAACCATACAACAAATTCCTGAAAAGTTTAAAATGGAAGTACCACCACCATTTCCTGTGCAAGAATCCATTAAAATATCATCATCAGTACCTGAAGTGCAGTTTCTGGAAGGAGAAAGAGAAAATCCAGTTACTATGTTAGAAAACCTGATAAACCAAAATGAGAAAGATAGCTTTCCAGAAGTGTCATTCAAACATGATAAAGTTGAACATTTTACAGCAAACCTTCAGTCACCTGTGTCATCAGAAGCAAAATTGACACCCCAAGTATTAACAGGTAGTGTTAAAATTTGTGGTAATTCAGTAGAACAACTCTTGAAAGAAAAACCTGTTGCATCCAGCCTGCAAAATGAAGTGGTTACAATGAAGAATTACCATCTACTTTCACCAAAGCCTATGCAAAAGGCAAAAATAAATTCAGAAATAACAAGGTCTTCATTGCCAGTAATAAGTGAAATAAAATGCCAGACTACAAGAGGCAGAACGGCAACCGAGTGTTATTCAAAAGAAAATTTACCAGACAAAATATCAACAAGTAGAGTAGAGCAAAGCTCAAATAATAACACTATATACAATTCCTCCAAAAATTGCTTGAATTCACTTCTCAAATGTAAGAGAACTCAAAGTCTCGAGAACGATGAGATGTCTGGAAGAAATTATTTATACGAAATTGAAGAGACAGGTCTGAAGTGGACAGAAGGGAATGCCTTTTCCAAAATAGAAGGCGAGAAAATAAATGCTACTAGAGAGAACATGCTAGCAATAATACCAAAAAAATGTCCATTGCAGACACTAGAAACTGATCTTACATGTCCTGCTAAAGAAAATGTCAACTTTCAATGCAAGAAGGAAATAGAAACTGGGATATCACAAAAGTTGCCATTAAGTAGAATACCTAAATCTTTTCAGAGGGTACATGTTGTATCCCATCAGGATTATGAGAAAAGTAGAACTGCCCCAGTGTCATCAGATGCTAAATTGTTGAAAACTCCAAACAAAAATGAAAATTCCCACCCTAGTAAAAAGGGAAAATTAATAAATCCATTGAAAAAGGGATCACCAGAACATGCTGCAAAGAAAGGTCTGATGGAAATCTCTTCAAAGAAAGAAATTTTGTTAAAAAATCCACAAACTGATTCTCAGAAAATTCATCCACAATTTGGAAATTTACATAATCATGAGACAACAAGTCAGGGAACCTTTCAGAAATCTCAGAGAGTAGGAAAACAGTATCACTCAATAAAATACGGGCAACCACAAAACTCTTCAAATAAAACTTTACAGTGTTCTCCACAAAAAAGATCAGCACATTCATCAATGACCAAAGGGTTATCACAGCATTCAACAAGTAATAGGAAACATACTACACAGAATGTGGCAGGTACAAAAATACCTATCCACATTCATTCCTTGAAAGAAACATTACATAAATCATCCGACAAAAAGGTAACACAGAGCGTTTCTGAGAAGGCATTCGGTATCCAACCAAAGAAGGGGCCAACACCACACAGAATACCAGTGTCCAAAGAGTTAATGGGCAGACCATCACACATGGCATCAGTAACTGAGATTTCATGTCAACTAAATAACATTAATTTTGCAAATAGAGAAACGCTACAAGAGAGTAATATCTCAGCACCAACATTGGACATCGACATACAACAGGAATCAGTACAGAATACTTTCTCTGCTCAGCAACCGGATGACCTATTTGTGTGTAAGGGTCATATACAGTGCATGGATATACATAAGGAATCAATACAGAATACTTTCTCCAAGCAACTGAAAGACAAATTTGTATGTAAGGACCAAGTACAGAATGCAACTCCAAAATCATATAAACACACAATGCATAAGCCCAAAAATGGATACAGAGACACTGATAAGGATGAACTGGATTTATCTGTTGCCATGAACAAGAACATTACAAAACAATATGCCACAGATAAAGATATAATAGAGGTAGCAGCAGTTACAAAAGTATTAGGTACCATACAACAGGACATTGGAAAAGAGTCGGAAAGTGCCAACCAAGTTCAGTGCTCATCATACGAGTGTTTGTAACTTGGAGTCTAAACACACAGCAGAAACAAGCATGTGCAATAAAACACAGAGCTTTTTAAAAGTACTGTATCCAGGTACAGTTCATACTCAAGATAATTATTAAAATATGCATTTCTTACATAATTTTTACATCAAGAAGTTAAATATGGTCTAAATGTTATTAGCTTTAAAATCTCCCAGAACCCCATCAAGCAGGTAACCTATACAAATCAACGGCAGTGACATACATTTAGCAACTGTTAATGACATTAAGAACACGTATACAATACAAGAAAGAGTTCGGAATTATTAAAATCTTGTTAATTTTAGGAAACTGCATACAGCACATTAATCAATACAAAAACAAAAGAAGTATGATTTAGTTAGACTTTTATGACTAAGCAGTTATGTACACTAAGTTAAAATATTTTACTACTACTGAGCAGTATACAGAACTCCAAATGAAGAATGAGTGAAAAATGACTGACCACACCAGATTGATAGGATATAACTATTTCAAATTATGATGAGTGATTAAAATGATCTAAAATACACTTTTTTAGCATTTGGTAAATATCAGATAACAAAGACAAGGTAGTCAGAATGAGTGGTGGCCAACCTGACTAAAACTAGCTTAAATAAACAATAAACAGCCAATCAATAAAGGTCAAGTGATTGATGACTGAAAAAATTAAGTGCTTATTAGAAATATAAAATGAGCTAATGTGTTACGAAAAACAGTAGAAGAATACAGCAATATGATACCATTTAGTATGGCCAGGATATTCCAAGATTGAAGTTTTCTTGTGATGAAAGAGCACAGGACAGACCAGTACAAGGTTAGCAGTTCATGTTTATACAAATATATCATCTTAAAACAGATTGAGTCCTGCTGAATGATGCACATATTCAAAGCTACAGATGAAAGATTGTAATTTTTTGTGTATGTTAAGCTTTGATTTTTACCATCTGATTTACATATTGCTTTATTAGTAATTATGCAACAGAATGTGCAGTGGTTAAAATGTTTGATTTAACTACAATGTGATGTCACAGTATTGACAGACATGATTGTTTAGACTATCAGTTTAATGATGCATCTTTAAAATGCCCATAAAGCCCACTATGGAAAACAGTGTCTTATTGAATGATAAAGCTTATGCCGTGGTCACTTATCAAGTCTACTTATTGACTTGACTTCACATAGTGGATCTTTGAAAGTCAGTGTTGTGTATGTGATTTGATGTGGTATGTGCATTAGTCTATGTTGTGAATGCCTCTGTCCAGGCTTTTTATTCTGCTGAGAATTATGACCGATTTATTTTTTGCCTGATTAAGCATCTAGTGTTATGACCTTTTCTTTGAATGCAGTAATTTGACTGATGATAACCTTTCTTGTAAGTAAATAATTACTATTAAGTTTTATATAATGCTTACTGTTGTTAAGGCAGGTGTACATAACTTAAAAACTACAGCAGGTGTATTTATATTATGATTATACAAACCAATCGTTGATAGTACAGTACTATAAAGTATTGCTGTTTGCTAGGTTCACTTATATGTTCCTAAGATACAGAATAATGTAATGCTGTAAATACCAAAACACAAGGTTTAAACTATTGGTATGATGCTTGAATGTCTCGTGAAGCACTGCCACCCGTCTCCTTATGTTTACTACTAAAACGCGGTAAAATACATCCTAACCTAATAGTGTGCACTTTCTCTGAATTTTTTTTTGAATAAAGTAAAGTTGGCGGTGAATCTAGCATTTGGCACTAATATTATCGATTGGGTTTCTTGTACTCTTGTTATAGTAACAATACAGTATTTGATGAAATTAAAATCAATATTAATTTTCCATTGACTGAGATACTCTTATTTGATATTGCCAACATAATACTGTATACTAATGTAAAGTGATACTGTACTGTAATGATTTTGAGAAATGTTTGTTCACATGTTCAGAAATTGGTGAAGTATGTATCCAAATACTCTACAATTATGGCATTGTACATATATTTGATCTTGTACAGTAATTATATAAAAGTGAAGTAACACACTGCATAGTGAAACTAGTTTGATTTCAAATTAATACTACAGTATAAAAATTATATTGTAACAATAATAAACTGTTGTTGTTATATATTACCATTTTGTTTACAAGATTTTAAAATGTAGTTATACTATCTTAAGCTGCTGTACTGTACTTGTATAATGTTAAAATGGGTGCAGGTAAAAGTAATTTATCAGATGTTCTTATTGCAGATACAGTAAAGTATAATAATTGCTATGCGTATTAAGAAACGAGATAAATAAGAGTGTCGGCAAAGCATAAGTCACATGTTTTATATATACTGAATATATATGTACATTCCAGGTGTGAGGAAGGTCAAATACCTACTTCCCCATCCCCTCGTCGCAGGTCAAGTGCAGGCCGAGGAATGAGGCGAGACTCGCTGGAAGGTGGCCATTCTATGCGTCAGCGATCACAGTCCCCTGCCAGTCGGGACCCTTCTGGCTTCCTTCGTTTAGGGTCTGGAAGGTAAACTCTCTACCAGCTAACATAATAATTATATTTATTTAAAAGAAGGTACAATAGGTTGGCGAGATTATATTAGTGATATTTTTACATTCTTGCAAAGCCACTAACACGCATAGCGTTTCGGGCAGGTCCTTAATCTAACATACTGTAACACCATTTTACAATGACTTAAGATAAGACTGATAAGACTTCATGTTCGCTGCATTTTTTTGCTGTCATAACAAGTACAATAGTTATTCCAGTATACAAAGTTTGTTAACCCTTGGGCTGCACACTCAAATTTCCATGACATTATCTCGCTGTGCAAGAAAAAAAAATCAGATTTTACTTTTAAGTTAAAATATATTCCCTGATCATGAGAAAATTAAAATAAAAAACTTACTTGCTTTGGCTGTTGTGGACCGAGGAAATCTTGCGGTTACAATTCATGAGCATTCACAAAGTAATTGCCCAGTGGAGGTTGCCCTGGGCTAGGCATGAGTTATAGCAAAGATATTTTTACTTGGTTATTTCAGTGTTGGCGATTAGTTTTTCACACTAGTTTTTTGCAGTAATATTATTCAGTAGTGTGTCTATTTGAGAAATATGTGGAACATTGTTATGCTCAAGTATATTAGATGATCACACCATATTCTTAGAATAATAAAGCATACTGTTTTTACTCTGTATACACACACATTATATATAACTAGCTACATTTTTATGCACCATTACAAATCACTAAACAGTTCAGCTTAGCAGCACACGCTTGTCAGTTACTATGACCATTTGACACAGCAAAGAGCCTCCTGGTATACTACACACCGCTAACTCTAGCAACAACACTGCTGTTAGCATGAGAACTCTGGATCTGAATCATTTTTCACATGTATATTTTCTAAAGGAACATGAGGTTCCAATTCATGATGCATAAATGTAGCAATACCGATGGTCGTGTGCAAGTTTATTTCGAGCTGTAAACACTGTCACCAGCATTAGGTAAACTGATATCTGAACCTTGCACATAGTCTATTGCTGTCAGGGTATTCTATGTCACTATCGTCAACAAATAATTGTATTTATTTCATCATCATCATTAAGTGATGTGGGCATGAGTGACTGCTCCTGCATGCAAAACTCTCAATTGCTTTCTTAGCACTGAGGACCTCATACCCAGGAGGGGTGTCCATGATTTTTGTACAAGACAGCATCTGTTTACTGGAGGCCTGAGAAAACAGATGTGAGCTCCGTGTACCTGCAGGAGTTGTAAAGCTTATGCGGTACTTTAAAACATTCCTGATTGTCACCCAGTTTATAGATAAATGGGAAGAACTTTTCTGGTTGTGTTGTGCAGTCAAATGGTTAATACATTTTATCAAGGATTATTTATTTGTTCATTTTTCAGCACAAATATTGAGAGATGGAGCTTCTCCAAATATGTAAAAACTCCAATTGAATGTTAATATCTATACAGTCCCTCTAATGCATTATGTGTGAGTTCCTCTCAGGCTAAGGGTCCCCTTCTTCCAGCCAGAGGTGGTACTCCCTTCCATATGAAATATATTTATACAAAGTTACCTATTAAATTTTTTATAAGGCTGTTCATCTCATTTAGTTGTATGTACTACAGATTCACCTCTGGGAAATGGGGACCAACATCAGGGTTTAGAGACGAGCAGATGGCGTGGCGTGATGACTCTTCTGAAGTTAGCGATGAAGGCTACAAAAGTCAAGGCAATACTGTTTCACGCTCATTACCTAGAACACGCAAACCAACACCCAAGAAAAATCTTGAAGTGGAAACAAGTGATATGATAGGTAAGTACAGAGTAGATATGATACATATACAAGGTACTAATGATAACTTTCATAAATTCAAGTAAATAATATTTCTATTATGAGAAAATTAGTTATTGTATATTTGTTTCTAATTGAAGCAAAGAGTTGGTAAACGGCATCTATTTCAGTTTACAATACTGGCATTGAAGAATCAATGGGATTTGATAAATTGTTAAACTGGGCAAGTTTCTCAATTTCAGAATACGATGCCTACATACATCTAGTGTTTTCTGTGCTATCATACATTCTGTTCTAGTAAATACAAAATACAAATTTGAGCTTTGGAATAATTTTTTTTTTTAATTTAGCATTCAATACTGTATATTTTTGCATAAATGTTAAAATTCAATATTTCCTTAATTTACAGAACGTCCAGAATCTTCTATGACACAAATGTCATCTGAAGGATCATCAATGTCAACAGAGGAATCGGTTAACACTCCCCCACGATCTCCAACAAATACCATAGTCAATCCTCCTAATTACCCACTTTCAGATGCTACCAATACTTGGTCACCACCTTCACAAATTAAAAAGAATTCCAGCAGTATACCAAAGTCAAAAATACCTTTTGTTGATTCTCTAAAAGGTCCGTTCATGGGTAGCAAGAAATCAAAGAAAACTTCCCTTCCTGAAGAAAAATCTCCATCAAAGCCAGCTTGGAATTCAGGACCTGGATTACGTCGGAGCAGTGAGGATCGTGGGAGCCGTATTATAAGTCGCAGCCGAAGTGCTACCAGTGAGGGTGGTCTAATGATGTTGGGTAGAGAATCTCCTACACGTCAGCCCCTAAGACCATCAACAAGGCGTCCATCAGTGTCTGGTGGACCGCAAGGAAAAAATACTTGGAATGGCAGAGCATCAAGGGAACGTCCAAGTCTCACAGCCGATACCTACAAACCACCAACCCATCGCACTGTGCGTTCAGCATCAGCATCCCCAGCTACTACACGTCGGCATTTTGGACATTCGGCCCCAGCCACACCCTTAAATCGGTCGCCAAAACGTTCAGCCCCCGGATCCACCCTTACATCACCAACTACCAGTGGACCAGTGCTTAAACAGCTTGCTGATCTTGAACCTGATGAAAATACTCTCCTGTGCATCAAGGATATATACGACTCACTCAGAGCAAAAGTGTCTGAAAGTTTAGCAGCAGAGGGCAAGTCCTTACCACCAGAACTAGCTCAGGAGTATACAACTTCCTGGGTGAATGCACATGTGTCTAGCAGTGGAAGTCAGAGTTTAGATCCAAAAATAAATGTAAACATTGGTACTACCAGCCCTAATAGTTCTCTAAAAGTTGCCCCAAGAAAGTCTGGTGTGGGGTCGCGCATTCCTGCACCAACATTCTTCATGTCCCGCCAGACAGAAATATAGCAGTGAAATAAAACAAGGAATTAAGGCTGTGTAGGTGGTACAGTGAGCTTGAAATAGTGCCTGCAGATATTTAGTTGAAATTTTTTTTTTTTAATGTGAGCCAAAGAATTCACATTAGGTCCATGAATAGTGATAACACCCAAACTACAAAACCTTGTGCAAGTGTTAGGGAAGACTGACCTCAGTGTTATCTAGCAGGTACTATATTCACACTAATGCCACCAGCAAGTTGACTTGGAAGTTTCTCTACCCAAATGTGCCTCTGTAATCACACTAACATGAATGGTGCTCCTTACCTAACATGTGATATGTTGCAATTTATATTATTTCTGACATTATGAAAGAATAACATTCCGATATTATTGTGTGTTTGATATCGGTCGTGTCATAACGCAAATACTAGTCGAATGTAGAATAGAAAAATTATAAAATTATCAAAAAATGTTTAAAAAACTGTATAGTTTTTAATTAAATTTGATATTACTGTTGACACAATTTAGTACAATGGTATATAGCTTTACAGCCTTGTTTTATCCAGACTTATGCTTCAGTTTAGCTTTTGAATGCATATTTGTTTAAATTCTCGAACACTTATTATAGGTATGTTGATATCTCCGTGTAAAAAAAAAAAATAGACCTACACCACTTTGTGATCTATGAAGAGGTTGCAATATTTTAGAAAAGAAAAACATTATTTTTCAGTGGAAGTATTTATAATATAATGTACTAAATATTATAACTTTTGCCGCCTGAAAGGGTGGTTTACAAGACTTTAGTTAAGAAACTGTACCAGTAGGTTACAAGAAAGTGATTACTTGAGTCCATAGCATGCTAGAGTAATGTTCTTGAAGCATTTCTAGGTCATGTCAGCAAGAAGTTATGAATGTTTGTGAATGAAATAATGGGCATTTGTAATAACTTCTGTAAATAATGATTTTTGTTCTTTAACTATAATTAAATAACAAGTGCCCAGCATTATGCTTTAAAATTGGTGGGGGAAGTTAGTATTTGCTTTCCTAGTGAACATGTATGTTGTCTTTTGAAGAGAAATGTCTCAATTTATTCCCTTAATGTTGAAATTGTATTCTCATTGATTATTGTTGAGTATGACGAGACTTCAACAGAGCTGTTAAAAAAATAATTTAAAATTATTAATAGATCTTGGTTTTATTTATATGCACTGCAAGTATTTGCAAGCTTCAAAGAATTTATAAGAGCTAAAACTTTTACAATTTTATGCTCTTTCTGGCATTGTTGCTGTTATGAGTATTTTAATTATTATATTGGTAAAATTTTACATAAGTCTAAGGGTTTGTTACTTGCATTAATCCTCATTGGTACTAAACTAGCAATAATTATATAAAAAAGTAACTATAACTATCTTAATTAAATGACATGTAAAGCATTCCTGTTTGAGTGCCAACAGTGTAAGAGTAAGAATTTGAAAAGCAATTACCATTAATTATTGTTCAATGCAGGGTGCTGGTCCACACTGGCTATGCTTGAAGCCTAGGCCTGTTTTGACTTGATAGCTGCCTACATAAATCTATATATAATACAAAAAAAAAATACAAAAAAAGTGCTTAACATTATTGTTGACACTGCTGTTAATGCTTCCATCTAGCACTTGAACACACGGTAATGTTGCCAACACTGGTATGCTAAACTACTGTATTTTGTAGAAATATGTTTTTTGGTTTTGTTTCCTGCACTCTAATAATGAATGATATAATGGCTTATGTTATAAGTTTAAAATTCATATACTGTATACTAATCCCAATTTTGGTTGCATATTTTTCATAGGGAAAATTTTTAGGGAACAAAGCAACAGAAAAACCTGTAACAAGAATAAAAATATATGGTGGCTCACAGCTCTGTGATGGGCATATGTAAATACGACTACGAATAAAAACCAAGCTTCGTTTTATCCCGTATGAAGCTTCAATGTAAAGAAATTCCTATCATTTCTAATTTACAATAATTGGTGATATCCCTTAATGTTATGTATGCTAGCGACCCTGTTTCCTAATTCCCAACTCCCATATAACTCTTCTGTTCTTGACACCAACCATCTGTGTACTCTGGTAGTCAGTTGAACATAGTACTGTACTCCACTCAACTGACGTCTCGGAGATTGTTATTATAATTACATTTTTAAATAAAGACAAAAGAAATTAAACTTTTCTTTGTTCCCTATATTAGATAGGTATCTGACACGAACGTTTGGTCCCGAGAGAAGGGGGTTAAAGAATAATTGAAACAAGACCATTGAAAGAAAAAGCTGCCTTATTCACAGATAATTCAGGGCTTATTACAAAAGGATTTCATTGAACATAAACTGTACATTATTTACAAGTTACAGCTACCATTTTGAGACTTAAACGGCATAAATCAACACTGAATGACGTAGCATGTTAATTCAAATACTGTACAGATGCTTTAGTAAGAAATTCTGTAATTATAAATATAGTACAGTATACAAAAACTTAAATGCAGTATATGGAAATGCGATACCAGAGCACATGTAATTACAGAATAAGAGATACTGTACTGTACTGAGAAAATCCACCAGGGCTGTGAGGTGGGAGCAAACCTACAACAAAGGCAATGCCAAGCCACATAATCTACCACTAGACCATCGCTGACTTGTAAAAGTCATACACCCGGATTTCTACTGAAATCACAAAGTCTGGAGGTCCCTACTGAAGCTAGTTCAAGTCTTTATGTATGCCCACAAGCACTTTGGTGGAAGGGCTAAGTGGTCTTACACCTTACACCCCATCTTCAGAAATACAAAAATCATGTTAACCTGATATATATCAATGAGAAAATCCACCGTTTCTGAAGTTGGGGAGTAAGGTGTAGGACTACTTTGCAATTCCTCCAATGCTTGTGGATCATACGTAAAAATTTGGACTGGCTTTCTCATGGATATTCATGTTAATGTGATTTCTGTGTAGGTACTGTACTGTACACACAAATGATTTTAGAAACAGAATCTGTACACCTGAGATTTTGCAAATTAAGGTACTCTTAGGTGCAAGTTGATATTGTAAGAATAACTACCTCTAGCGCTGGGTGAGAAGGGGAACTGTGTCAACAAGGGTTCGTGTCAATCCCTCCACTGAAAAGGAAACAGGAAGAAATAAATATGCTACTACTGTAGTAAACTGTAAAAATAACATTAAAGTAACAGTATTGTATTACTAGCATTTATTTCTGAATAAAATCATGGAAATCAAATATTTTTTTAGCACAGGGAGTAATAAGTACAGTATGTGACCCAGACTGCTGTTACTTATGACAATGTGGAGAACAACAACAATCTGAACCCATGGGCGATGTTATACAAGTAAATTACAGTGAGCAATCATGCCTAAATGTCAAAGATGTGCCCTGAATAAGGCATCTTATAAGATTGCAATTATATAGTCAAAATAGATATGCTTCAAGTGCAATAGTTTATACTCACTGTGTGGCACAAAGTGCAAGGTGACAAGTGTGGTGAGGAAGTTGACCAGGTACCGGTGCACCTGTGTATACTGGCTCTCCAAGCTGGCTAGCTCATCAGTGCTCACATGACCAATATCACGCAGCCATAGCTCACTCAAACGACGCGTTAACCAAAATACCTTTAAAAAATATACGTATTATACATACATATTACAAGAGTTTATTGAAGACACAAAAGCCGTTATCAAATGAAAACCTTTATATAAATAATGCACAAACTCTAAAGCAATTGTGTACACAAATGGCAGAGTACAGAATATTAACAACAAATAAGTTGTTAATTACAAGTTACAGCTAAATAATTCCAGGGTAATGAGTATTTTAAGGGAAAAGTGCCAAGGGAACTTACAATGAAAACTCCTGTTTTGGCCTACAGCACTGGTTACTAACTGTTGTGATAATGGCACTTTTTTCTAATACTTCTAATACTCAGAAGACGCAAGGGGGTTGCAACCCACCACTTGGAAACCACTGTCTTACAGTAATTTAAGTTTTAACCAAAAATACAAGATCTATATAGAAATTAACACACCTTATTTAGTACCACTTGAAGAGGAAGTATTTTGTCATTGCTGCCCATCAGACATTCAGTCATTAGTCTATTTACTAACTTCGTGTGCTCTGTAAATAAAAAAATGTATTTTATATATATATATATATATACTGTATATATATATATATGAATATACATAAGCTGAATACACCAATGGAGAAGACTCAAAGTGCATCAGAGATTGAAGTTTTAAAGTGAATACAGTATAAGTAAAATCTCAGGTGAAACTTTTTACTATTAACTAAAATACCATACAAATAAAATAATACCGACCAGCTTTTATAGTATTGAGGGATGGCCGAGACGCAAACAACTTTTCTACAGCTTGGTGGTAGGGCAAAAATACAGTATTGGCAAAATGGTCATGCAACTGCCGAGAGAAACACAACAACCACTGTCGAAATAACTGCAACCGGTGTAGACGAGACTGCAGTGGACCAACAGTTTCCTCTGTTGCCCCTTCAGAGCTAATTACTGCCTGCCAGCTGGCCAAATCTGAAAAATTATATAAATGATGTACATATGAATAAAAAAAAATGTTTGCCAATTTTTTTATGTTAATTTTCACATCAATTTTGTATTTACCCCAAAAGAATATCCCATGCATGCTTGAGGTCTGAGCCTCCTCAGACAGTTGAACTTCGCTTGCACGGCGTTCTCATGGGTCGTGTCAAGCAGCTCCTCGTATACAGTTTACCTAGATTCCCAGCACGGGTTGGAGCTTTGTTTCCCGTGTCCTCCTTTAGGGTCAGTTACAATGATCTCTGACATTACAGGATCACATTAATACCCGAGCAATGCCTGCAGTTTGCGTTGCACACAACTTTCTCAAGTCTTGGTCTTTCATTTCACCTTTGACATTGTAGCAGTAGCGTATTGTCACAACCAGAGGTGGTCTGCCTTGTCCTTTCCACCGTGGCAAGCAACATTGGCTATAGTTTTGCTGCTTGCCTCTCAGGAGCTAATCCTCAAAGCAGCCCACATTTGAGGGTTGTTGAATGTGTTGGTGGTTAACCTCTACATGTTTCATCTCATCTGGACAGTCATTGACAGGGCTTTCAGGGTTGCAGGGTCATTGTGTCTTTCGATGCCAAATTAGAGGGATGCTAACAAAGCGTAACGAAGGGAGAGGACTCCCATGTTCACCTTGCATGTCTATACATGTGCTATTTCGCTTATTAGGTCACACAGTGTAGTGCTGGTGTTGAATTACTCTATTTGTGTACATATATTGTATGTCAATCAGTTCAGGCACAGCAACTGTCATGCCACCTTCTTCTGTGTGATTCTGTCTGGACATGTCGTCCAGGCATGGATTCAATCACAGCTAGGAAAGACCAAATCATCATTTGGTGATAACTGCAGTCCCCCCTAGTATATGATAACCGCATTTGCACAATAAGCAATTACAAAACAATACGAGAACCTTTCCATAGATGGGTCTTGGTAAAATCCATTACATCCATAAAGAACTATTATAACCCTATTAACATCATTGCCATAAAATAATGATAACTGTCAAATGACAGAAATTGCAGTGGCCTAGTAGACCAACAAATGATGATGACCTCACATTGAGTGGTGACATTATATATTCCAAAATGAAGTCTTGCTGCACTCTCCAACTAGCTTTTAAGTACTGTCAAGTACTTACCTTTGAACTTCAGTCTTTCTAAACCATAAGTTACTCTCTTGAGACTAAGAATAAAGTGGAACAGCATGTTGAACTGCTTCATAATGGGCTCAGTAAGTACCAGGTTTGCTGGCCAGGGTGCCTATAAGGAATAAACCAAAAATACTCACTGAAGCGCAAGTCCAAATATTTTGGCATTCTACAGACAAGACTAAACCCCAAATTATTATTATTTGGATGGAAATTTTGTTTGGTCAAGAGTCCCACCCTCAACAATAAATTTAAAATTTTAAACCATGCTGATTACTGGCTTTACATAGTAACATTTGTGACGATAAGGGTTAAGGATTCAACCAAAATAATTTGCCAACAAGACAAAGAGCATCTATCCACTTTCCTTACTAAAATCTAAGTATCAGTTCAGGTAATACCATTGTGAAAACTTAATATTTCTTCGTACCTGGTATTGTATCCTTATATCTGGTAAACCAACTTTTGACAGAGGCATATTCGGTGCTGCTTCACTGGTATGGCAAGTGGTGTGCCCCCTTTCACGGTCAGCTCTCAGTGTTCCGCTAGATCCTGTGATTTTCTCAATAACCAGCATACTATCACTCCTCCCTGCATTTGGACCTAAAGCACTTGCCTCACTGTCTTCACTTATTCTTGCATCTACTTCATGTGCAAGAGAAACAGAGAAGTACTGTGCAAACTCTGGGTAAAGCCGAGCGATGCAATATTGAAGGTGAAGAGTGAGACTAATACCGTCAACACCATCACCACTCTCCAACTGAAAAAAATAACAGGGGCCCCATCTTATTACAAAACTAGATGTGGTGTAATGAGTACAGAGAGTGATGTGATTACACGCAACGAGAGTGTCGGGGCTCACATTCTTAAAAAATCTTAACTTTCAGTCTGGGGTTTGTGTGTTCTGTGATGCAGCAAGATGACAAAATTCACATTAAGAGGATTTTCAAGAAAAAGAAGACTTAGCCTCTACAAACATTTGAAAGAAGACAGAAGAAAGTAGAAAATGACAGACCAACCTTTTCACTACTGATGGTTAATTTTTTTTTGGTATAATGACACTGCAGTTGAGTGTGGCAGCTTGCTGAATATTCTCCAGCTCACAGTGACCTTTCAGTGAATATTATTTTCCAAAATCTTTTTTTTATCCTTTTACTTTGTGCCTTTTTGCCTGTTAATGGTTCTGTCTTTCTACTTTACCAAATGTGTGTATGATGAGGCAATATTCATTCTTTCAACACATTATTCATTCTTGTTTCTCAGGTAAATGGCAATGGTTGCACATGTTATAGAGCCAAATTACATTGTTTAATTCTTTAGCAAAGGTTTCAAGTATTTCGTGATTAAAAGGAGATTTGAAGTCTGGAGAAGTTTCTACATGAATTAAATCTACTCCATGAATACTAATTGCCAATGTGAAAAATGTTCTACATTACGCCAATCCCCTCAATGATTGGTAGTTGCCAAAGGAAGCAATGTTCTACCAATGCACAATTCATATACAAAAGAATAATGACTTAACTGATTGTAGCTTTCTCTGGCACTTCAAGTGAGGTTACCGATACCAAAACTGCTCAACTACTTCCTTATATTACATAAATGCATTTAAAATAAGTACAGTACTAAAGAAATATAACTGTCCTAAACTTTTCTTGGCTACCAATTTGGTAATTCTGAACAGAAAGTAATATGATGCATAAATAAAATCTGTCTCCATGCAAGTAACTTGTTGTGAACATGAAATATAAAAGACACTACAGTACAGCTGCAATATATTGCAGCTCTTAAATATTTGTTGCAGTATTTACCTTGGCAAACAAGTGGGAGTAAAATTCAAGCATGATGTCACCAGCTTCCATGAGTAAAACAGAACGGACAGCTTGACAGTGGCGATCCAACTGGTTCTTTTCTACCAATACACAGGTGAGTCTGGCACTCAGCACATCCTGCTTCCTCTTCACCAAGGGACAGAGTGCTGATGTCAAGAGTGATACAACTGATACAGCCCGAGGAACATCTCCGATATCTTCAATTAAACTGCCAACGAGGAATAATGGGTTAAAGTACAGTCGTCTGAAGCCATCATTATTAAATCTTCTTATATCTATGGCATATTTCTAAAGACCTCAGCCTGATCTTTACAAAAACAAATGGTGTTTCCATCCATCTCCACCATCATTAAATATTAACAAATAGTTAGCTATATATGAAAACATCTGATGTATGTATATCCAGCTGGTTCAGCTCCAACACAAGTATATTGGCTACCCACTCAGTAAGGTGTGTCTTATCAGTTATAAACCATTTCCAATTGAGAAAAGATGGTAGAATTGTAATAATTTTCATGGTAGCATTACTGTTACGTCAATTTCATTCTCATTCACATTTCCTACCTGTTGAAGACTCCAAGGATTATTATTCCTGCGGCCTGGTCTCTAACCAGGCATTCTGGTTGCTGGTCTGATCAATCGGGCTGTTTAATGAGGCTGTTCACAGCCTGAAAGTCACAGCCTGAAAGTCACAACCTGGTTGATCAAGTATCCTTTGAAGGTACTTGTTAAGTTCTCTTTTGAACACTGCAAGAGGTTGTGACAAAATTCTCACAACAATATTACTGTACATCCAATGTTCTTCAACAATGGTTGAACACAAATAAATTAATCAATACTGTACAATCGTTGAAATGGTTTACACTTAAAAAAATAACTTTTCTTCTTGCACCAATTCAACACAAAACTTTATAACTGTAACTACAGACACATTCCTCCTCTACTTTTGTTTCCACTGGGCCATGGTTGGAAGTGTGCGCGCTCTCTGGCAAGTGTTTTTTCCACTCTTGGGGTCATGTGGTGCATATCTCAATCTTACTTGAGGTGGATTCTGTGTTGAAACCCTCTTTGGGGGTTTCTCAAGATGTACTTTCTGTGGTGCCTGCCCCTCCTTTGATATCTATATTCCTTCAGATTATGCCCTTATCGTTCCAATGCCTTCTCCGGGAGAGCAATTAGGTTCATTTCCTTTCAGTAATCTCTGTGGGTAGCCTCATTTACAACTTTCCGAGCTTTAAGTCCTTGGTGCCATTTCTTTTCATGGCATATCAACCATTCTTGCCATCAGTGTCTCTACTTTGTTAAGTTTGAATTGGCTGGGAGACGGTGAAGGCCTCCTTCCCCCTGGCTTTGTGGGCATTTTGCCTCTGCAGGGTTCCGACACCTACCAATCTACAAGGGTACAAAATCCAGGTTCACAAACCATTCGTCTGGCCTGGGAAAATTGGGCTTATTACGTATGTGGTGGTCTAGCCACACACTCATTCTCCTGGTCTTTTTTTTTTTAACCATTGTGATTAGGCCCACTATCTTGTCCGATTATCCTCCACCTGCCCTGGACTACCACCTTGTTTCCCCCATAACTTCAGTTCCTGTCCTTTTTACCATTCCCTTGTGCTTTCCTCTCTCTCTCTCTCCAGGGCTAAGGCTTGGTAGTACAGTACCAGAGTTAAGCATGGGAGTCATTGATGGGTCTCTCCCAGAAATGCATCACGAGTAAGAAATGTAACAACTCAGTAAGAATTTAATGAACAATGAAGAGTTGAGAATATGCAAGTTGAGAGTCGAGTTCCATTATTTACAAAAATCATTATCCATGAGGTAGAGATCCGATATAAAACTTCACTGAAGACAAGTGCAGAGTTTGTTACCCAAAACGATGTACATTTTTGCTTGTATACATTTATTGCATTATATTCGCCTAACATGATCCTGAACGTTACCAAAAAATTTTATCACGCGCTACACCCAAAGATATCCCCCCCCCCATGAACAAATGAAAGACAATGTAAGAAACATTTCTTTGTAGTTACTCTTTCAGTTATGAAGTAAAACATCCAAAGGGCAACAACACATGCCTAGTAACAGAATCCACAGCTGCCGGTGTAGAAGCATGGCGAGAATCCTGGTTGGTGTCAGTGAAAGCGGCCAAGAGAATGGGATCTTTTTCCTCCCAGTCAGGTGAGAGATGACTGCTGCTCTCTGTGAGAACACTATCTGCATCCTCCTCACCACTGGCAGTGTTGTCATTGTTCCCATCTACACTCTCACTGGAGGCTGGACACACGGTTTGTTTTACATACTTCACCACTACTTCATCCAGTGACGACTCTGATGGAAAATAATAAGAAAAGGTTGCATTACTTACCTCCTTTTGAAGTAGGGCGTAATTGCGGATGACAGAATGATACTCGGTATAAGTAAATTATGAAACATTTTATGAAAATGAAATATTCAAGCATTAAACTTATGATGATGTAATCTAAATGCATAAACAAACTATCAAATAATTTTAATTAGCAGTAAAATCAAGACACTTGTAATCAGAATCCATGATTCATCATATTTGTGTAGCAACATGTTAAATACCCACACAATTCATCACATGTACTGTATTTAATATCTGAAATAAAAAGTAAAATAACAAACCAATAATAAAGCAAACCTTGATCAGTTTCCGCCTTCAGTTGAGACAAACTGCATGCACCGGAATGTTTGGGCAGAGGCTCAACGTCGAGAATGGCCAATAGTTCTCTGGATTTGCCTACTGTTGTAAGAGACGCCACCAGAGGAGACAGGAATCTCAATATGGTTTTCCTGCCAAGATCAACAAAGTCATTAAAAAATAACACTGAACAAAAAATTAAGCATTAAATTAAATGCCCTTTACTGGTGGGGCAAGAGTAGGTGCACGAGATTAACACTGGTACAAGTACCATCAAGCCTTAGCCCAGCACACCTCTCAGATGCAACCATCACCTATAGGAAGCCATGACCAGAAATTTGCTCACTTTACAAGGAGAGGGAAACAACACACTCCAGAGACATATCACAAATAGGAAAATCCATTAGAATCCACAGGCGCAATAAAACGAGCAACTGCTTAGAGAAAATCAGACCGTTTGTACCACCACTCTGGTACAAATTCCTGGTACCAATCAGTTACCAGGCCATGCTAAGCGCTGGGAAAGAATCTCTGAAGCAAACACAGAAATCCAACTGCAAAAATTTGGTAGCCAAGGATCATGTTCAGTCTAGAACAGTATCATGTTAAGCCAAAACGCCAAAATTTTATGAAACTAGTGGGCGCTAGTTTCACAAACTTTTGTTGGTTTGTTTTCATTGTTTGGGAAAGTTCTTTTTTTACATAAGGAAAAATGAAAGTATAGTAGGTTAAGTCTACTAGAACTACCTAATACAGGTAAACATTTGATACTTACATAGGATCTTGCATGTCACAGCTTTGCTCATCTTCCTCAAGACTAATCGTGAAAGCTTCATTCCAAAATCGTTCATCATGTGCTTTCACCGATTCATCCCTATATCAGAATAGAGTATAATTAAATAGTATGATTATGTATCGAATTCAATACAAACACTGAAGACAACATTTTAAGAAGCTTGTTATTTGTTGGATCCAAGACAAAATATCAATTTATTACAGTATTTTCATTTCAATTTTTGTATTTTCATCTTTACAGTGGGATGGTACATAGACCAATATATTAGATCTTTCTTTCTATGAAAAAAACACTAACTGCAGGGCAGAGACTTTTAATTTATCCAACATTTTATCACCGCATTTTTTTTTCAGGAATAAAAAGGGGAAGAGATAGGGGTACAATGTGGATCTTAAAAACACTTACTAGTGCTATGCTAGTGGGAGAGAACAACCATTGTTACCAAGCTTTTGAACAAAATCTAAGCATTCACCTAGTTGTGCTTGCGGGGGTTGGGTTCTGCTCTTTCGGCCCACCTCTCAACTGTCAATCAATCAACTGTTACTAACTACAGTACTAAATTAATTTTTTTCCCCACACACACCCAAGAAGCAGCCCATAACAGCTGTCTAACACCCAGGTACCCATTTATTGCTAGGTAACAGGGGCACCAGGGCAAAAGAAACTGACCATCTGTTTCCGCCGGCAGCTGGGATTACGAGTCCCAAGTGCTGTCCATTCAGCCACGGCCCCCTTGAATAAGTGTGAATCATAATGTGTAGTGAATCAAAATTCTGGTCCAGTCCAAAAATTGCCTAGAGCACAGTGCTATTTCCTGCATGTGGTGACATGTTCATCCTAGCTGGAGACCTAGTCTAGACTATCTGGTCCTAGTGATCCATTTCCTCAAGGGGTTTAGCCAGTTTCATAGCGAAATAAGTACACTCTAGCAACTCATGGTCAAGGGTTTTCACGGCAACCCTTTCCACCAGTGATGGCATAGTAGGGAAATGCCCTAGTGTCATTGCTCAGACTTAGGGCCCAAGATGCTTGGATATTTTACTGCTTTCTCGATGTGTCTACTCTGTCATTCATGATTTGTTGGACAAATCATGATAACAAGGTGTAATCAAAGGTAACACTCAACTGAGAGGTATCTTGCTTGTCCCCATTCTGAAAAATGATTCATGTCAGTTATGCTTTATTAATTAGGTATTGATCTGTTTCGGCTCAAAACTTGCCTTTGCCCATTCAACATTTTGCATGACCACAGTGTTACATGTTCATGAGGTTGTTTTGCTCCAGACCTGGCTCATTTCCCTGGACCTGTAGGATTCCTATTGCTATACAGTGTACATCTACCACCAGTTCAGGACTGACTGAGGTATCTAAGCAAGTTCCTTTAATTATGACTTTTAAATAAGGCCAAATAGCCTCAATTTAGCTCCCAGGAATTTTACCAGGCTAACGTATTATTTTCCACGCTCTTCACATGTACAATTAACTATGGAATTACATTAAAACAACTGCAAACAGCCACAAGTTATATATATATAGCTGGGTGAATGAATGAAAAATATAGTTCATCACCATGATGAGCAAACTACACCTACCTCTGAATGATGAATTCTTTGGCATGATCAACAAACGTACCATGCAGCAACCAGCTGTGGATTATACTGAGGTAATGGCGAAGACTATGGAGTAGCAGCCTCATCAACACACCTCGTATGCCTGCTTCACTGGCACCCTCCACACCTTCACACAGTGTGCCCAATAACCTACAAATGTGTATACATAAAACATTATTATGACAATCTTAGCCCCTCAAAAATCTGGTTGACAATTGCACAATAACACTTATGAAGACTTCATCATTCAAAACTAACCGTACAGCTGTGTATCTGGGACTTTTCTCCATGATATTGATGGTCGCTGTTGAATGAACTGCATAGATGGACATCAGCGTGCGCAACCAAGGTTGCAACTCTCCCTCAAGCCATAAAAGCGTACATGTGCTCTCTGAAAGTGTAATCAAAACAGGCAGGTCGTAAGATAAATATTCTATAAAAACATCGCAAGATATGCAGACAAGGAGTCACAATAACGTGGCTGAAATATAGTGACCAAATCACAATCAACTTGAGAATGGTCCAGGACGGACCGAAACGTCGTCGTTCCTTCACTTTCTAGTGTGTGGTTTGGTCATCACAAGATAAATATTTCAACACAAAAATGTTTTCTTCCACCATGAACAATTTAGACCTATTGGCCCAAACAATTTAGAACATGTTGGCCCAAAATTAGCACAAGAGGCCTACTCTATTAGTAATCCATGCTCATCTAGCCATCAAGTAGAGCACATTTCCATGGGAGTTTATGCTTAGTTACCGAGTGGATAATAATTTATTTACAATTAAATTTAAAATAACTGCCACACAAAATTTTGTAATTTTTTACCGAGGTCGAAATAAAATAAGGTGGTAACCACAATTGGTCTATAAGCACCCCTAAAGTTCGAGAGATATTGCTTTTCGAGTAAACCAAACGAACTCACATTCAACTTCTTATCCTGTTCCAATTAAAAGGACATCTTGATTAACGAGTTTTAAAAACAAGAAACCAGAATAAATTCAAGTTCAAGTGCATGACTTTAATTTGAATAGAGATTTGGGTTACCTGTACCAATTTAGTTCTAAGTGCTTATCCTATTTATTCCCAAAGCTCAAACAGAGCGAGATAAATTCATATACACAAAAAAATCACATAAATGTGTTGTATCGGTGAAAAAATCAGTGGGACCCATGAGGAAGATCTGAACCTGCATGTTGGGTACTGCCAAGCACAAACCTCCAACCACGATATGTTAAAAAGTAATGTTACCTGGGATTTAATTGAATCCTCTGGACTTCCGGAGGCATTCACTGATACCAAATCAGGGTTTCACACATTACCTGTATACATTCTGGTGTGGTATAGGAGTTCTACCTCCCAATGCTTCTCTTTATTAGTGTTTAGTCTTGAAGCTTAATTGGCAGGCTAGGCTTTTCAGTAGTTTGGAAATCACCAGAAAAAGGAATTCATTATAGACTGTCCATGCATGGAGGTCAGTCTGCGGTTACTAGCAATGAAATGTTCAAGTTCGTGTTGGGTTCTGACTCCTCCTACTCTCAGCTGTGTGTTTCTCTACATAGTCATCATTATTATTCAGGAAAATTTGTGATCTTATAACCCATCTTTAAAAATAGAAGAAATGCAACATTTAAGCAAACAAAAAATTTGAACAAGAGGAAGTTAGTAAAAGGCAAATGAGGCAAAAATGGTATGAAATATACAATAACATACACTGTATTGTCAAAAATAATTACAATTTTCTAGAACGAAATTTAAGCACCATTAATAATCTAACCTTGCTTTTTGACACGGTCTTCCAGAGCAACAAGATATGACTGGAAGCGGTGTCTCCAAAGCCGCAAGCCAGCTGTGTAAGCCAAGATGGTGGCGGGTGTAGGTGGGTCCACACTTGGAAATTCATACTTGTGCATGAATGCGTCTAAGGTTCTCAGCTGATTCAGAGGTTCACACAGGTATTCCAACAATCTTGATGTTGCCCCCTAAAAACATTCAAATAAAATACAGTAAAAGCAGTATAATGATAGACCATCACAAGCATCATGCGTGAAAACACAAATATGCTCATCAAAAAATTTAAAGTCAAAACTTTCTATAAAACTTCTCTCTCTCTCTCCTTTATGCAGCCTTCTACAAACTTCTTTTCCCCATCTTATTATATAGGAAATCCTTATCTTAAGTGGGACTTCCATCCACTATACATGCCTCTTTCCTTCCCATAATTGCTATTCTTTCAACTTTAAGTATAAAAATGTTTTTTGTTTTCCATCAATCACACTTGATATTTTAACTAACAAATTTCAGCATATTGTATTCACCCTGATTTTATACATAACATCTTGCAACAAACATTCTACAGATAGCAAATAACTATCAGACTTAACTTACCGGAGTCAGACTTGCAAGCGATATATTTGGCTTCAAGGTAAATGAACCTTTTTTGTTTAAAATAAAAACATATGAAGGTACTGGGCACAATAAGACCCAAAGGACCTCCCTCATCACTGACCACTCGCTTAGGTGTTGGCACAGTCCCCTCAAGCCTTGTTCTACTTCCCTGAAGAGAAAAATAATTTAAAAACCATTTACATAACTCTGATATTTATTGAATATGAAGCAACTTTCTGAGCATGACACTTGAATACAAGTTCACTCAACATTCCACCAGACAGATTCATGGTACTGTAATAGGGGAAGGATTACATTTCCCACTGGCACAGCATGGATCATTTCAAAACATTTCTGCCAGGTCATACTTGTGCTAGAGACGCTCTGAAGAAGAGCTCAGTAGAAACAGTCAATGTGTTTACAAGATTTACTTGGCATCACAGGGACTGGCTAGTAATACTTTGACCCAACTGCTAATTTTCTGCTAATGATAATTGATTGTCTCCTTCAACAATTATCAGATGACAGCACACAAGCCAACAAAAGGTCTCAAGTCTCTAGCATGAGATTGTATACAGTTAAGTAATTTGACTTTAACCATAGAGACTTCTGTGTACTTGCTAGGGCAGTACGTATATATTGGAATGCTTGTATCCATTGACAGGTATGTATGTTTCAACCTATTTGGTCAGTGACAGTTCTCTTCACCAGATTTAAAGTGTTGAGGTTGAGTCTAGGGACCTGGTACTGGTTAAGATCAGTTGCTTGCAACCTGGTACTCTTAGCCATTAGAATTGACTCAGATTAGCTCAGTGCAACTTATGATGTGGATACTAATCCTCAGCCCAAACTGCTAAAGCAATTGAGCTGGTTGACCCACACACCCTAGCCTTTAAGGTGGTTTTACTGGATTTACTATTTCTGATAATGATTTATCCCATCTAATTTAGAAAATGTGTGAATCGAGATTTAAAGGGCTGCATTCAAACCTTGTTTTCCATCTCTTCAGTTGTGGATATATGAACTGGTTACTGCTCATTTTTCCAACCACCTTCACTTGCTATGGACCCTAAGTGGCAACAGATTTCACCCATGCTGACAGAGTTAAAGGGGTAAAGAATCTGAACACTCCATTCCTCCTGTATATTTAGGAGGGAGGGAGTGGGAGGGAGGGGGGAATCTGGAGTTGTCATCCAGCACCTGCATTCTCCCAAGAGTTGGGTGGGAGGAAGCAGCTAGTTGATATACTAGCAGTTGAGCCAGACACTACTTCTGTCGTTATGGTGACAAGTAGGGACTGGAAAGGTTTTAAGCATTATAGGTGTACAGTACTTTCTTTGGTCACACTGGGCTGGGTGTAATCTGATTTGCATTCCGGGTGTAATCTTCAGGTAGCATTGAGGAGGGGAAGGGCGTGTGTGGGCAGTGATGGAGGAGATGGGGGGGGGGGGGGGGGGGGAGAGTGTATGTAGTGTATGTGGGAGTAAATGGGGGAGTGTTTGTGTGGGGGTGCTCTTCTCCAGTATCTTTCTAGCACCAGTATGACTCAGTAGGCACACTGAAAAAGAAATTCATGTTGTACTATAAACCTGTCTAACAGGATCTTTAACGAGCTAACATTATGGAACAGATAAAATAAGGTAATAAGGTACACTGCAAACGTTGTTGAAGTCTTTGAATAAATTTGCTACAACTCAATGTGGGTTTTTTTATTGTGAAACGGAGATAAAAGCAGGTACCTAGTAAGACCATACAGTAACTGCATTTACACAAAATATTGTAAAGGAAATAAATACATCCTTTAGAAAATAAATTAAGCATGTTAGAGGCCTAAAAAGGTTGTTGAGGGATACATCCCTCCCACCTATTGTGTTAAACACCATGTTTTGCAGTTTCTTCATTACAAATCAAGGAGCAATAGCATTTTTCATGGTAATAGCCTATAGCATACTCATACCCAAGAGAAATCATATAATAGAAATGTGTCATTAAAACATCCATGTAGTATATGGGTTAGTACATAACTAAACTGTAGAAACTTTATTGCAAAATTATACGGCAATGAGCCGACACTTACCACAGTTTTGCCACATTGGCAGCTGGATGATCAGACAGTGGTGGTTGCTGTGAACGCTGCGGTCCCCAATACTGCAGGTGAATTTTGGCCGACACCCAAGACTTTGCTCGGTGAATCTGCTCCAGCAATTCTCGGGTCGTTAGCTGCTTAGAGGGCAGCAGCTCTGCCGTGTAGTTTGGTGGTAACGTGTTCACTAAACAAGTACGTAGTTGAGCAGCACCACTACCTTCATCATCACTGCACTCACTGTCTGAAGACCAGTCCTAAAATAAGAATGTAAGGTTCATTTTATTTATTCACCAATACAAATTATTTCTGCACCTTTTAATGATCATCTCAGAATAAGTGCTTTTGAGTCAATATACTATATATATATATATATTCAGGATTGCAGGTAACCCCTTTCCCTGTCAAAGTAAACAAAACTTTTAATTACCAAAATATTATGAGAACAGCTCCTATCTTCAACTATGCAAACACAATTCTTACTAACACATGAAATTTGTTGTATTGTTCCAACAAAAAAGTGGAAACGCTCAACAACAAATTGCTTACAAAAGCAAAACTATTGTCTTTTCATCTATCAGCAAAATTACTGTATCTACATTCTTTAATGTCTTGGTTTCTTTAGCCATTTCATCTACTCTGGGAGTTAGCTTAATGTGGGATCCTTTGAATATCGGAGTGTGTTTTAATGATCTTTAAATATTTGGCATTCCACATGCAAGCATGGTTTTGCTTGCATGAAGCTGTTGCTACTTGCTTGTACCGCACAAGGAAAATGTGTAAACAAAAGTCGAGAATGTCCTCAATATGAAAATATAAGTGCAAAATTAAATGGAATGAGCAAGAAATACAATGACCTAAATATAGAAAACAAATTATAAAAGCATTAGGGAAAGGCCAATGAGGAGCAATAAATAGCCAAATGGTGCTGTATAGCCAGCAATAAATAAATATTTATTTGGCCAATAAATAGCCAAATAGCTAAGGTATACCGAATGCATTGTTGAAAAAGGTGTCGCATCTACAGCACAGTGTCTGCAGATGAAAGTACATTATACAGTATGTGTAGAAGGTGCCACACCTACAGTGTAAGTGGTTGAAAGTGTTGTGGCTACAGTGTATGTGGTTCTACAGCATGCTGTGGTTAAACAAAGTGCTACAACTAGCAGTCTCTGGCTGAAGTTGCTCCAGTAACAGTGTCTGCTGTCATCAAAGAAGAAACATTAGAAAGAAAGGATGTCAGCAGGTGACTAAGACTAACCAGTATATATTGATGTGAAGATTTTGTAATTAAGAAAAATGTGAATAAAGTAAGACTTACAGAGAGGGGTTCCTCTGGCCCAAGGATATACTTGGGTTCTCCTGTTCCTAGGTATGCCACCCAGTCAATTTGCTCTTGTGGTCCCTCCTCGGTGGTCTCGGCAACAGCCTTGCTCTGGATCTCTCTCACTGGTACTTGTGTGGGGCTATTACTCAGGTGTAGCAAGAGAGATAGCAATGACCATTCTACATCAGTCTGGAATGATCACATTGGAATGAAAACTTGAATCTAGATTTCATTCAGAAATACCATTTCTTAAAACAGATTACACATGCCAAGTAGAGACCAAAACACTAATTTCACATTTCCATATCGGCTACAATTCGTGGGACTTTCAGAAAATTCTGCATTATTGAATATTGGGTTGTGGCCAGAAAAAGAGGGGCTTTAATAAAAACGAAATTCCTCTTTGATTAAGTGGTTACTGTATTATTTCCTAAATTCCACTGCACATTTTTAACCCTGTTTTTCCTTTTAAAAAATTGAAAGTCCTCAATGTTTCCTCTTAATTCTAGTTTTCTCTGCTTGTTATTACTTCTCAACTACAATTTGATGTATCATATGAATGCATGTGCTAATCTGCTTTTCCATGTCATCTTTTTTAGAAAAAAGTTGGGCTTGTAAAAATTACATTTCTAAGTTATTCGGCAGCTCCCAAAGGTACAGTGATCTACGGCACATTAATCTGGCTCACTGCCAGTCACTGACAAAAGTGGCTATTGTACTTGATTATATGCAACAAAAAATATTACTGCTACAATGTTTGCCAATTAACCCCAAAAAGATTAGTAGCTACACATGCATTAATAAACATTACAGAATTACTTCTTACCTGAAAATGATCTTTGAAGAGAGGAGAGGAAAGAAATTCAGAGGTGAGAGACATTAGTTGTTGAGCTCTGTGGTGCTGGCCATGAATGGTGAACTTAAGGGCAAGGCCATCAATGGAACGACGTACAGCATGGCTGTTCACTGCCAAACAGTGATGATATAGTAGGTTAGATAAAACAAACTGCTCACTTCGGATAAAGTTTTCTTCGCCCTCCTGAAATAGATATTAAAAATTCTCATTATCATAATTTTAAAAGATAAAAACTACAATATTTTTTGCTGTGCATTGCTGTAATAAGAATAATTAGAAGTTCCATTATGTATTTGATTACAAGATTATGCAATAATGTACTGTAGATGACCTATATTTACTCTTAAATTGTTATGATATACTGTACAATAGAATTGATTAATTACATCTTCACACACACTTGTGAAATTGTTTATTTAAGCACACAAACACACAATTTGGGCACCGAATGGGGGCCATTTATTTATGTAAATTAGTAAGAACAATAGTACTATAAAACAAGATTTACCACTTTCTCAACCTAAACTAAAAATGTAAAATGTGAAAATACTACACAGCATTGTGCCCCCCCCCCATCCTTCCATCCATCAGTTCTGCAAATCATAATCAACATATTTATCCACAGTACTTATTTATCAGCTCTTTAGCACTCAAGAGTTCAGAGCCAGACTTGGTTATTTGATCTCTGCTAACTTTTCAGTTAGTGAGCAGTTGGGACCAGTGAGCAGTTGGGATTGGGTGGTTATAGATAGGAGCTGCCTCGTATGGGCCAGCCTTCTGCAGTTACCTTTATTCTTATGTTATGTTATTCTTAACTTTATTATAGAAAAAAAAACATTAACTCTAAAGCTGGGAATTATTTGTCAAATAATTCCTTTCTTTGTAAAATAGATTTATATTAAAAATATAGGCAGGCAAAAAGCAACTACGAATGTTTTAGTACCGAAATGTGTACCAATGGCTAGCTAGGAACATACAAAAATAGCAGTGATTATTCATGGGCAAGAAGGCATCTATCAGAACATTAAACATTTCTACTGAAGTCTTTGCCAGAGAGGCCGCACATCATGAGGGTAACATGAAGGAATTTTACCAGATATTTAACAGAGCCAAATGGGGTGTAGCTTCAGGTTAGCACAATATCAAAGAAACACCATTAAAGAATCAATGAAGAAACTTTCAGAGAAATTTATCCTGTGCCCATGTGTACCGAACTGCGTACCCGCTGAAGCCGTAAATACCAAAACTCTTAAAGTCGAAAGTACAAGTGGAAAAGATCGTTAAGGCCAAGAGGGGGGGGGGGGGTGATCTTCGACAAGCCGCCAGCTTTCTGTCCTCGTCGAGACCATTAGTGTTAGTGGCCCTTGGGTAAATATGTGGTTTATTGAGAAATGACACTTTAGCCTATGTACAATATCACTTTTAAATTATGATGAATGCTGATAATATATACCATTAATAATAATAATTTATTCACAAGACGGTATAATGTGTTGGCGAGATTACATAAGACTGGTATTTTTACATTCTTGGAAAGCCACTAGTAAGCATAGCATTTTGGGCAGGTTTTTAATCTAAAATATCAGGCAAGATGAAAATGTATATTGTAGCAAGATTTTATATCACCTCACCAATAAATTTAAATAATCCAGTCTACCCATTTTATTTAGTTTCTCAAGACTGTAAGACCATAAATTATGACAAATTTTAATCACACTAAGACAAAATTATAAAATAATGAATAACCTTACTCAAATTAGTGCAACCCCTACTTGTTTGCACCTGTTCCCTAGTGTCAACACAGTAGTCATAGTTGCAATCAAATATTTAGCAAAGCAGCAATCATTTTTGAGAACTAATTTAGTACAAGCTCAAAAATAAATTATTTGAACTGGCTAAATTCTTATATCAGCTACTGTACAACATTATTATATAGTTTCTTTTAAAAAAAATATAATCATCATAATTATACTTTTGAGAAAATAATCAGAACTGGAACATAAGGCAGGAGGATATATGCCTGATAGTTAGTCTGTTAAAAATATAAATAAATATTAGATATTAATTTAATATATATTAGAAACAAATAAATGTATATATATATATTCTTCTGTATGTGTGCCAAACCACGGTATATGGTCTGAGCTTACTTGCATTTTTCTTATTTTAGATTAACTACAAGTCAATGACAAATGTTAAATTATATCAGCAAAAGTGAGCAAACTTGCAATAAACAGCTCATTTTCCTTTAAACCAAACTTTTAAAAAAATTGGAGGGATGGAAATTCTGCACCATAGTCATAAACTGGCAATACCATTTACAGATAGTGAAGAGGAGCTGGACCCCCTGCTGCCCTCGTCTGGGGGGGGGGCAGGGGCAGGCGACACAGGTTTCTAAGATAGGCCTATTTACCTCAATTTTCCATAGCACCCATAACCGGCTTCAGGCCATTTTACCTCGTTTAATTAAACAAAAAATAAGAAGACTCAAGTTACCTGGAAACCCAATACGTGAGTGACGAGTTCTTGGGTGAGAGCATCGAACTTGCCCTGGCCAGACATGACGTCCACCGCGCCCCTGGGCTCACACCACGCCCCCTGGGCTCACACCACGTCCCTGGGCTTCACACCACGCCCCTGGGCTCCTCCTGCACCACCAGGCACTCACAACTGCTGCAGGCGCGTCATCCTGTTCTCCTTGTCATAGGGCATGAATGAGCTCCACAGAACCTGATCCCTCCTCCTCCAGGTTCAAAACAACCCCCTGTGTTTTGTTCCAATAATTTAAACAGCGGCTGCGCGGGGTCTGGTTGAGTCGTGCACACACACAACTGACGTACAGAACGTCGCACTCTCCCGTCCTCAGTAACTACAGAGAAGGCCTATTGACCCTTACCAGGCAGCTTCTATTTATACCCATTCAATCTCATTCATATATATATATATATATATGTCTAATTCCTCAAAACAATCAAGGGATCCTACTATTATATTACGCGGTAGTTGGTTCCACAAATCAAAAACTCTTAACCAGTATTTACCCGGGTCTTTCATAATGCATAAATGTATAAATCAAATCATATGCATAAATGATTGAAATAAAACAAATAGGACACTGGGATTTATTTATCGAAATCGTATAGTATATGAATCAAATATAAGAACCAAGATATATTTAGGATTTAACGATTTCCTATATAGTTGCAATGATACTTTAATTGCACTTTATCATTATATACAGAACGAAAATAACTTATACAATTGTATAGTCACTTTAATACACAAAACAGAAGTAATGATATACGTATGTTAATTATGACGCAGGATTGATGTCTCGGTGAATTATGGCTGAAACAGTCAGATTATATATGTCAGCTACAAGCAAGTAAATATCAAAAGAAGTCGCCAAGCCGGAGAATGTCAGCCACAAGTAGAGCTCTTAACTTAATTATAAACCATAAATTATGTTCAATATCATCAGAAAATCGGAAACATACAATATATTTTCAAAATTTTGCCATTAAAGTGTAGCGAGTATATTATGTCAATAATATAATCGCTCCAAACTCTCATTGGCTGAATGAGACGAGTCTGTTGCAGGTTTCAGATGCAACTGGGAAATTAGCGAACTCTGAACCACTAATTCACTATCTCGCGTACTAGTGGCTTTACGAGATTGTAATTACCATATTATGTATCCTCACAATCACAATGTACCTTCTTGTATATATATAAATAAATAAATAAATAAATCTCCTGGAATGTGAAGCAACCAACGACCTTAGAAGAGCTTTAAGAGTCCCTGAATCTTGCAGTAACCACCCTGAAGCCATCAACACTGCCATTCTTCTGGTAATGAAAAGTATCCAGCAGCTGGACACCCACAGAAATACTGTCAAGCAGTATCCTCCCCCGCGATAGCAGCCTAGCGATTTAAAGCCTTTCACGATCAAAGATTAAATTCACTAAAAATATCTACCACTCTACTCATGCCCGTGGCACCTCTTGGGTGATTTAATCTTCATCAATCAATCATGTTATTAGATGTCGAGAAGGATGTTGTATGTTATTCGTGTTCTATATTAAGGTAACTAATTCCACCCAATTTTGTATTTCCAAATTTTGTATAGTGATAGCGAGTCTTCTTCCGTGATTATCTCCTTCCCGATTTTTGTATCGTCAGCAAATTTTCAGATATTGCTGTTCAAACCTGACTCTAAATCATTTATATATATTATGAATATCAGAGGACCCAGGACAGAATCTTGAGGCACTCCACTTACAACATTTTCCCATTCCGACTTAAATCTATTTAAACTAACTCTTTGTTTCCTTTGGTATAGACGTGCCCTAATCCAACTTAATATAGCACCCCCAATACCATGTGTCTATTTTTTTAATCAGTCTTTCATGTGGCACTGTATCAAAAGCTTGGCTAAAGTCAAGATACACAACTATCAACTGCCTCAACTACGCTGTAATAGAATAAGAGAGCGCATGTGAGATCCTTACCCAACGCCCAACAAAAAAAATCCCAAATGGCCAATGAAAAAAAAAAGGTCCCAAACGCCCAACAAAAAAAGGGTGGCAAACAGCCTACAAAAAAAAGTGGCAAACAGCCAACAAAAAAAAGGGGAAACGCCCAACAAAAAAACTAAAAAAAGTGACAACGCTTTCTTGCCACATTTTCTGTTGGACGTTTGTCACTTTTCTGTTGGGCGTTTACCCACAAGAAGGTCATTATCCTCCATGTTTTATGTTACCATCTTTCAGGTGACATAATACCATCTTTTTATACATTTGCTAATACAGACAAAAACCATACCCGTACTGCGTATATGCACGGGGGCGTCGAGCCCCCACCACCGGGTCAATATTTACAGCTGACCGGAGGGTATAGCCGCTCAGAAAGAAGGAAATTAACCAATTAAAATGACACAATATAATACTCGTAAATGAATAGACGGCAATATTATTTTTATTGCATACGTGTGTGTGTCAGTATTTGTGTGTCAGGGCCGTGAGGTACTCAAGTGTGAGGCTTTACGCAGTACCTCACGCTAAAAAAAAAAGGCTGGTAATATCTGTAATAATTTCAAATAACAATGTGAATGTAAAGTAGTGGCCACCGTTTAATCATCTATGAACTTGTGAATGTCAGAGCAAAGAATGAGGAGCAGGAGAAGGAAGAACAGGAAGCCTCTTCCTGTTATACTTGGCATACCGCCATGTATATGTTAATATGTTAATAAACATATACATGGCGGTATGTATATGTTAATTACCCAAACATTAACATATGAATGGGTATAGCTACAAGAAATATTAGTGTGTGCAGAAAAAAAAATTAGTTTAGAGATGAGAAATGTTCTAAATGTTTCATTTCAGTCCCACACAGGTGTTAGTATTTACATATAATTTGTTGTGTATTCAAGTCCCTGCGGTCATTTTACCCGCAATAAACTCAATGTACCAGATATGAGAGCAATAATATTATCCATTCAAAGACCTCAATGGAATTTTGTACTTTAAGTTCTATGCTCCTGTTGATGCGTAATCACATTGTAGGTTAAGTTATTTTGAAGTTGATTCCGGGACTTAGCGTCCCCGCGGCCCGGTCTTCGACTAGGCCTCCTTTTTGTTACACATTCCCAGGAAGCAGCCCGTAGCAGCTCCCGGATACCTATTTACTGCTAGGTGAACAGGGGAATCAGGGTGAAAGAAACTCTGCCCATTTGTATTCGCCTCCGCCGGGGAATCGAACCCGGAACCTTAGGACTACGAATCCCGAGCACTACAGATACTTGCTAAGAAACATAATAGAGGAAGTTGTCCTTAATTCTAAACAAAAGTCAAGTAATAATGTGTTTGAGGTGAGTCCTCATTAGACACAAGTCGTACAAACCCAATAACATTTCAACGGCAGAAGAAATTGTTAAACACGTGGGACAAAATCTTACTGAAGCGACCATACGAGTCATAAATACTCACACTCCGCCCAAGTAAAACATAAACCAGCAACACTTAGTGGGCCAGCCAGAGGTTTAGGGCCCACGCAGGAATTTCCCTGGAAAAAAAAAATCTGGCCCAGAAAAATGGTTGGGACTGCAAGACATCAATGGCCGCTCACCTCGTTAATCAACACACGTCATCAATAGAGATATTTCTTCAGTCATAAGTCACCAAACTTTAATATTTATGAGCTCAATATCCGTTATCTTAAGGTGCTATATTACCCTGCTCTCCCTATCCACCTCTTAACTGCTATGACAGCTTTGAATACCTAATTCTTCAGTAAGATTAATACATTCTGTCGTTTTTTCTAAATGTTGCAGACATCTTTCTGATCATGGGAGAAGTAGCTTTCATCGTTACACCTGTTTTATGTCATATTTTCACTTACTGATCAATTTTGTCATGCTTCCACTTTTAGGTACATTTTTATATCATGCTTTCACTTTTAGATAAGTTTTGCCTTTCTTTCACTTTTACATCATAGTTTATGTCATGCTTACAGTTTCTCTTCTTCCAGATAAATATACACAAACACACACACAGGTGAATACACACACCTAAATGCAAATATGATAAAATATGTGAGAAATGAGTCATTGAATTACTCTACGAACGTCCGGAAGGCAGGACTAGTAGGAGCCTAGCACGACCCTGCAAATCCATTTAGGTGAGTACATAAATAAAATAAGAGTATAGAGCACCACTTGGCAAATGGAATTTAGTGTGAAGGAATGTCATGATAAGACATGTGGAATAGGACAAAATAGACCACACATAACCTACAAAATATGTGAAAAAGTTACACACAAAATTAGATGAAGAGGTTTAAGGGTGGACCTAGATAGAAAACGGTCACCTAAGGACCACATAAAGAACGTTCAAATTTAAATTTTTCAAATTCAAATTTTTATTCAGATAAAAGTATATACGTAGAAGATGAGTTACAAACATAAGTTCGTACAACGTTGTACGAACAGCTTATGCTACGCTTTCTAATTTCAGAATTGCTATTACATACATGCGTGGTGAAATACTAAATGAATTGTTTACGACCTTCGTGAGACCAAAGTTGGATTCTGCAGCGGTCGTATGGTGCCAATATCTTAAAAAAGACATTAACAGACTGGAAAAGGTGTAAAGATATGCAATTAAATGGCTCCCGGAACTGAAAGACAAGAGCTACGAGGAGAGGTTAGAGGCATTAAATATAACAAACCAAGAAATAGAAGAAAAAGAGGCGATATGATCACTACATACAAAATAATAACGGGAATCGATAAAACTGATAGGGGAAGAATTCCCGAGACCTGGAACTTCATGAACAAGAAGTCATAGATTTAAACTAACTAAACAAAGCTGCCGAAGGAATATAAGAAAATTCACTTTTGCAAACAGAATGGCGGACAGTTGGAACAAATTAAGTGGGAAGGTGGTGGAGGCCAAAACCGTCAGTAGTTTCAAAGCGTCATACGACAAAGAGTACTCGTATGACGAGGTACCATAAGCGTAGCTCTCATCCTGTAACTACACTTAGGTAATTTACACACACACCCATACACACCTTCGGCGCATAAATCTCTTCTGGGCTGGAAGCCCAAAACATATACAGAGGTAATACTAGAAGGCCCCCCTATCAGGCCCTTGTTAGGAACCTGCAGCAGGTCATCACAGGTTATATGGTCGTCACAGGTTCTATGACGACCCGGACAAGAGAGGCAGGATGGGCCGCGTTGTTAACCACCACAGGTCACGAGTACTTCGAGGCAGGAAGTACTCACCTAGTTGTGCTTGCCGGGGGCAGGGGAGTTGAGCTGCGGCTCTTTGGGTCCCGCCTCTCAATTGTTAATCAACTGGTGTACGTGGTGCTCCGTGACTATATTGTAGCCTGGGTCGGAAAAAGTGTTTTCCCGCCCATCAATATGGAAAAATGGTTTTCCGTTCATTTCCAGTTTTTGAGCCATGGTTCGTACCCAGTTTTTTTTACCTTATTTGCCTTATTTATTTTAGAATCACGTGATTAATAGTTTAGTTAAATTGGAGAAAATAAGGCCAGTGAACTAACCCTCATCGCGTTAATTATTGGACCAATAAAGTGTAAATTTAGTGACCTCTATGGAGAATTAACGGGAGGTGTCCTATATTCTAAGTTTAATGGTAACCACTGGACCACAGGTGTTGAACTGTACCATATATAATCAGGCAGACACTGATATATATATAGGTTCCTAGTGGTCAGTACTGGCAGTACAGAGACGTCGTTGATCACAGCAGTAACTACCTAAGGCAGTCATTATATATAGTCTTCCGGCGCCATGAAGGTTCTTTATTTCCCTGTTGCCGTTGCTGTTGCCATACTACTCTGCCAGGTAACGTGTCTCTAAAGTAACAACTTTCTAACTAGGGTAACAGCTCTTTAACTAGGATAACAGCTCTTTAACTAGGATAACAGGTCTCTACGTTAACAGCTCTTTAACTAGGATAACAGCTCTTTAACAGCTCTTTAACTAGGATAACAACTTTCTAACTAGGGTAACAGGTCTCTACGTTAACAGCTCTTTAACTAGGATAACAGCTCTTTAACTAGGATAACAGGTCTCTACGTTAACAGCTCTTTAACTAGGATAACAACTTTCTAACTAGAGTAACAGGTCTCTACGTTAACAGCTCTTTAACTAGGATAACAACTTTCTAACCAGGGTAACAGCTCTCTTGACTAGGGTAACATCTCTGTTACCCCAATGCCCCCCCCCCCCTTCACGAAGCCTGTGGATGTGAAATGTTCAGTGACTGGTCCGTAGACTTACACATCAGTTTAAATAATATAGTTACCTTTGATATTGATTTTCAAAACATGTTCAAACGATAGATTTGCATTCCGGGGGTGATCTTCAGGTAACACTGAGGAGGGTAGGGTGTGTGTTGGCAGTGATGGAGATGGGAGTGTATGTAGTGTATGTTGGAGTAAATGGGGGAGTGTTTGTGTGGGGGGACATGGGGAGGGTGTGCTAATACCCCCCGCAAGCACAACCCCCTAGTTGTGCTTGCGGGGGTTGAGCTCTGGCTCTTTGGTCCCGCCTATGGTGAAGGCGTGTGTGGGGGGGTACACTGCCAGCTACTACCTAGCATTACAATATAGGCTTCACATTATATAATACAATGGGTTATTTGATGTTTTACATGTTAATTACAATAACTACCCCTATATGATGAACTTATACGTAAGAATATTATGCATTATAGACAACGAATAATAAGCAATGTTTTCGTACATGAGCTGAGACTTACAGCATTCGTGAAGTTTTAAATACATTATTAAATATTTTTAGTATTTTATATAATGTATTGCTCTTTACATTACAGGCGATTGCTGTTACAGGTACGGTACATGTTGTATAAGGTGCTATGGCAGGTACGGTACATGTTGTACATGGTTCTGCTACTACAGGTACGGTATGTTGTATAAGGTGCTATGGCGAGTACGGTACATGTTATTTGAGGTAAACAGAATGTGTTGGGCTTGACTTTAAGCACACATAAAGGGTAGTGAGGAGAAGTGGGGTGTAGAGTGTACTGTGTGGGGGTCAAGAGAGGTCAAGAGAGGTCAAGGTGGGTGAGGAGGAGGAAGAGTGGTGTACAAGAAGAAGGGGGAAGGGACACGACATAAAGCCTAGTCAATAAATCACAAAGTATCGTGCAATCTTTGCGAGAAAATCAGGTACGTAGTTGCACATTCAATCCCAGGAAAAAACATAACATATAAGAAGTTAAATAAACCAAGAAATACTCAGAATATCGCACACAGGGAAATGAATAAAACATATGATAACCACTGCACACATAAATCACAATAGCGTGATGCATCAAATGAACAAATCCACAAGGTAGCGTCTGGGATCCTCTCGGACGTAGGTTCGAACCCTCGTCACGGCTCTTGTGGATTTGTTCATATGATAACAATGTACAGTTTATGCTCTCACGTGTTTACCCATTATTGCAGGGTGTGTGAACAACGTCGCCTGTGCACAGTACAACGGTACCTGTCAACTGAAGACTGCCGTATGCAATGGCACTGAATGGAACACAGGCTGCAGCGGCAGGGACTGCACCTGTTGCATCCCATCTCCGGGTCAGATATCATCTCTATCTTGCTATCATTAAGTTTGTAGGACTAGGCGCAGCATTGAAAGCTTAAGAGACAGCGCAGAACTTAATTATCAAAAACCTGGTGCAATATATCTTGAAGTTTTCCTGTATTTGTAATATAATTTATTATTTATTTAAACATATGCGAACAAGCCTGAATGGTCCCCAGGCATACATGCAACTGAAAACTCACACCCCAGAAGTGACTGGAACCCATACTGACACCCCAGAAGTGACTGGAACCCATACTGACACCCCCAGAAGTGACTCGAACCCATACTGACACCCCAGAAGTGACTCGAACCCATACTGACACCACAGAAGTGACTCGAACCCATACTGACACCCCAGAAGTGACTGGAACCCATACTGACACCCCAGAAGTGACTCGAACCCATACTGACACCCCAGAAGTGACTCGAACCCATACTGATACCACAGAAATGACTCGAACCCATACTGACACCCCAAAAGTGACTCGAACCCATACTGACACCCCAGAAGTGACTGGAACCCATACTGACACCCCAGAAATGACTCGAACCCATACTGACACCCCAGAAATGACTCGAACCCATAATTCGAATCAACATATATATATACAAGAAGGTACAGAGTGTTGTGATAATACTTGTGTATTAATATAATTATTGGTAATAATAGTTGTAAACTATACCAGAGAACGAGAGTGTGTGTATCCGCAAGCCGTGGTGCCAGAGTCTCGGGGGCACCTGCGGCGCCTATACCGCCGCCACCTGCGCCGGCGCCTTGGACCCTAAAGGTTGCCACGGTACTTGTGCCTGCTGTGTCCCCAGAGGTGAGTCCTTCCTCACTCACCCCCTCCTCAAGGGTGAGTCCTTCCTCACTCACCCCCTCCTCAAGGGTGAGTCCTTCCTCACTCACCCCCTCCTCAAGGGTGAGTCCTTCCTCACTTACCCCCTCTCAAGGGTTAGTCCTTCCTCACTCACCACCTTCTCAAGGGCGAGTCCTTTCTCACTCACCACCTCCTCAAGGGTGAGTCCTTCCTCACTTACCCCCTCCTCAAGGGTGAGTCCTTCCTCACTCACCACCTTCTCAAGGGCGAGTCCTTTCTCACTCACCACCTCCTCAAGGGTGAGTCCTTCCTCACTCACCACCTCCTCAAGGGTGAGTCCTTCCTCACCCCCAGCTCCTCAAGGGTGAGTCCTTCCTCACTCCCACCTCCCCAAGGGTGAGTCCTTCCTCACCTCACCAAAGGTGAGTCCTTCCTTGCCTCCACCTCCTCAAGGGTGAGTCCTTCCTCACTCACCCCCTCCTCAAGGGTGAGTCCTTCCCCACCTCCCCAAAGGTGAGTCCTTCCTTGCCTCCACCTCCTCAAGGGTGAGTCCTTCCCCACCTCCCCAAAGGTGAGTCCTTCCTTGCCTCCACCTCCTCAAGGGTGAGTCCTTCCTCACTCACCACCGCCTCAAGGATGAGTCCTCCTTCACCTCCTCAAGGTTTTAACCTCTCCTAGATAATACAAATCTCATGAGGTAATTTTGTAGTTGTCTTAATGGAAATAATCTCATAATAGTTAGGATATATAATTGAATTAACTTCAATGACTTCTTCGTCTAACCTGTTCCATTTATTGACATCTCTAACGCTGAAACAGTTCTTCCTGACGTCTCTGTGACACTTATACATCTCTAGTTATCATCTATGTCCCTTCTTTCTGCTGTTCCTTGCTTTGAACAACGCTGCTTTGTCTACTGTGTCAATTTTTCTTAGAATCGTATATGTTGTTATCATATTCCTCTTCTCTCTTTTCCTCTTGTGTGGTAAGGTCCAGTTCTCTCAGTCGTTCCTCATAGCTTAATCCCTTCAGCTCAGGAACGAGTATCGCTGTGTGTGAGAGAGTGTGTGTGTGTGTGTGTGTGTGTGTGTGTGTGTGTGTAAGAGAGAGTAGTTTACCTAACACAGGCCTTAATCTTGTCGCTGGCCTCCTCTCATGATAATACTGTGTCGATTCCATTTATCTTTACAGTAATAGCAAACTCCGGTTGCAAGGACAAAGGTCAGTGCAATTCCTTGTATGGAGGTTACTGCTTCACGAAGAACGTTCACCCCTGCAAAGGCTTCCAGTGGAACGGTGGCTGCAGCGGTACCAACTGTGCCTGCTGTGTCTTGGGTAAGTTCCCTTAGCACCTCATAGTCTCATCTTCATGAAATGATCATGATTCATCATCATCTTCATCTACCCATAGAAGCACGCTGATCTTAGCTAAGATTTATAGCCTTATTTTATCGTCTTAAACAGATTTAACGATGTTGCTGTTCAGTTCAGCATTTGGAGTGTTTGTATATATTGTAAATAAGAAAGGTCCCAGGACAGAACCTTGAGGCACCCCACTTGCAATACTTTCTTGATCAGAATTGACCTGTTTGTTTACTCTTTTCTATTTAAATAACCATCACCTAATCCAGTATAATATATTCCTCCAACACCATGAGTCTTTATATTCCTTAACAGCATTATAATCCTATAGTATAGGACTATACTATAGCATTATTTGTTAGAACACTTTTCCCACCGTTCAAATTAAATAAATTAGTCGATAGTCCGGTGTAAGGGGTCGGTTGCTCTTCCCAATAATCTGGAAATATTTCCAACTCTGCAATAGAGCCCTGGACTCCACTGATCCTCACGTTGGCACTCACCTCATAACTGCATGAAAGTGGTCTTTTACTCTCATTTTTTATGGCCTCGTAAACTCACAATATAATAAATTCTCTCTCTCTCCTCAAATAGGGAACAAGCAGTTCATTAAATTTATAACTTACTAGCCTAAACAGTAGCCTACTTGCCACCACTACTCGACTTGAATACTGAATTTTTACAGTAATTTGAGGATTTTAAAATATCCAAAAGTTATCTTATAGGCCTCATATTTTTGCTTGTATTAGGATGGTTAGGTTAGGTTTTATTAGCACCATAAATACAAAACCTTTTGAAGTTTCTCCCAATTGAATTGTACTACATTCTACTTTCTAATTGTCCAGTGTTAATACAGTAGCGACTAATACATATTGGTAATGAGTATTAACTAACCATTGCAGACACGACAAAGTGCGTTATCAAGAAGAGGTGTTCGGACAACGGAGGCACCTGTGTGGCGCCGGGCCTTTGTAACAAGCCCAACAGTAACCCCAATTGGTGTGTTGGATTGAACTGCACATGTTGCTATTAAGGTAAGATTGTTGCTTTCTTTCACCTGTCTCTTGGCGTCACCAGTACCTCCACATGTTGTTAGTGAGGGTAGCTGCATATATTTGTTAGCCAAACGAACGCAAAATATAACATGTTATTTTCATAACGGTTACGACTAAATCTCAGAGACGCTTTGTCACAGAAAACGTTATTTAGTGATAATTCGCTAGCTCGGTCTTATATATATTCTCGTGGTACTCCTAAAGAAACAAATATATACAGAATATTGAACTGATAGTTTTATATTATTAAATAAATACAATATTTACATAAAAAACATAAAAGGAGATAGACCAAGCCATGGTTTTCAAGAGCCTTGCGCTCACAAGATGATTATAGGACTGGAGAGAAGCGACCAACTTAGCAGTGGAGATCACAGTTTATACTACCAAGGCTGAAGACCTTAACATACCCTTAACCTAACGTACCAAGTCCCAACATACCCTTAACCTAACATACCCTTAACATCGATAAAACGTCTGACATATTGTTTGGTAACAAGTCTAACAATCAAATTAACCTAAGAATTAACAATACCCAAATTATGAGCTGAGTAAATAGCAAGTTCCTTGGCGTTTACACTGATAACAAACTTAATTTCCCTTGTTATACACAATATATAACTAAATAACAGTGTCTACAACAGTGGGCATTTTCTCCAAAGTCAGAGATAATATTGCTGTTCCGCCCGGGATTCGAACCCGGAATTCTGGATGGTGAGTCGAGAAGGAACCCGACTGTACCACCGGGCCCCATATTAGGGAAACAGTTGCGTTAACTGGATGTGTTTAATCCCCCACAGCAGCAGGTGTCACGGAAGAGGCGTGGACAGTGCTTGGGGAATATGTGAAGCATGGAAGACGCAGGCCCTGACGCAAACATGGATGACGCAAGCCGTGAAGCAGGTTATTATCTGTACTTCACAGCTACTCCTTCAGGGGCTGTGAGGCGCTGCACATAACGATTGCCCAAGTGTTTCGACGCGTTAAATATCCATCTTTCCCAGCCTGAAGAAACCTTAGGTCTTAGATTATTAAATTGAGTATCGTGTTGTATTCTACCAGTGAATATATATATATATATATATATATATATATATATATATATATATATATATATATATATATATATATATATATATATATATATATATATATATACTATCACATTTTTCATCACGTGTTAATTTTCGTGATTTACACACATATATATATACTATGTGTTATTAAATATATTTATACAAGCAACGACTATTTTCTTTTCCTCCTGCTGAACCAAGTAAAGCCACGTTGAAGACAATAAACTTAGTCATCTCAGCTGAGAGATCAGAGACTAAGCCTCCACTCACCCAGACGTACTCAGAGTATGCAACCTTATCATTGCACACACATCTTGATTTTGTAACCAGATCTCAAGAATTTTGGCCTTGAGCAAACAATATCCTTAAAATACGGAACAAGTTGTAGGATATTAATCCAGACCACATCTTTAAATGGTTCCTTTTAAGGAAGTGGTTGAAACTTTCATGTAACACATACAAGTAAGAAATTATCAAAAGAAGGCACCAAGTAACACATACAAGAGGCAACGACTTCCAGCTGAACAAGGTACAATGTAGGACAGAGATAGATCATTTTTCACCTTAGGGTTATAAACCCATTAAATCGCTTACTCGCCGAAACCGTAAATGACAAGACTGGCTGTTCAAAAGCCAGTTGGAAAATTTGTCAGGAACAAGGGGGCAGGGGCCTTCGACAAGCCTGCCTCCCGTTGAGGCTAATGTAGGTGGTGGCCCTCAGGTAAATTCAGGTAAATATGCAATGTTGAAACAATGTACGAAGTTAACATAGGAATCACAGCCGTGGTCATCCTGGCTGTAATTTATTCTCCAGACTGCATGCAGTGGCATCCTCCAACAGCTTGGTTGACCAGACTTCCAATCAGGAGACCTTGAAAAAACCACCCGTTATTCGTCCAATATTGTGTTTGTTGAGCTTGAAGTTGTTGACCCTAGTGGGAGATATTATTATATTCTAGTTTGTTTAGTATTTTTAAGATTATCTATGAAATGAGCATGGTCATGTCTCTATTGTGGTGTTGTTAGTCCTGTGGGCCTCGACCGGTGATGGTGTGAGAGTGGGCTCAGGTCTGGGACGGTTATGGTTGCCTGGTGTTCAACTTCTCCAGAGCAATTATGTCTTTTCCAAGATGAGGTTCCCATGGTGAGGTCCCCAAGGTGAGGTCCCCAAGGTGAGGTCCCCTAGGTGATGTCTCCAAGGTGAGGTCCCCTAGGTGATGTCTCCAAGGTGAGGTCCCCAAGGTGATGTCTCCAAGGTGAGGTCCCCTAGGTGATGTCTCCAAGGTGAGGTCCCCAAGGTGAGGTCCCCAAGGTGATGTCTCCAAGGTGAGGTCCCCAAGGTGATGTCTCCAAGGTGAGGTCCCCAAGGTGATGTCTCCAAGGTGAGGTCCCCAAGGTGATGTCTCCAAGGTGTAACAAACTAGGCTGTTGTAAGAATTATCCAGAGGGGTTTATCGACAAAAGAGAATGGAAGCTGAGCCGCATGGTGACCTGACCCCCAGGGGAATTCGCGGTGGAAATAACCAACGCTTTGTTCATAGCTGCGTAAAATGAATCATCCTATAGTATTCAGTAATTTAGAGAAAATTAGCCTTTATTCATTTTGCATTAAAATTGTATTGTATAATAGTACTGGATACAATATCAAGAGTATTCTAATTATTGAGTTTAAGTCACCATCAGTGACGTCACGAATCAGATCTAACTTTTAAAGCGGAGTGACCGGCGGTCATAGGTCAGCAGGGTTGACATGTCTAATATTTCTCAAAGTTTTAATAACCATTTTTGTGATCGGGAACAGCTCTGCCGTTAGATGTTTGTAATTTAATTCAGTAAAATAATTCAACCAGTCTGGATCAATTAAGTACAACAGAGTTTAATTGTTATAACTTAACCTTGCTAAAGTAACTGGGTAAGCGATGCGGAACAATACAATACTCTGTCTGGGGTAGTCCAGACAAGGAGGAAAAATCAGTGTGGTCACGGAAGCAGCTGGGATAAGAGGTCAACATCTTACCTCTCCCCAAGAACAGGCCCAACACCTAGAACTGTGGTCGCCCAAGGTATAGTTGCTATTGTTAAGTATAGAAATAGTCTCATTTGCCACTCAGGTCAAGTAGGGAGTGTTAAAGTGATAGGGAGTGAACATATTTAGATTTTGTTTTAGTTTTCTTTTAATAAATTAAATTTGTTATTAATTTGCATTTTATTGTTTCCATGTGTTTTATGTGTATACTTGTCCTGGTCACGTGGTCCACACGAGGCAGAGTTGCATTGGGCGCCGATTCTAACATCGAATCGGAATTATCATTACCGTGTAATTTATTCCACACTCAAGGTCATCGTTTATAGTGGGGATCAAGCCCCTAGGTTGATTAATTAGCGTGATCGATCCAGACCTCGATCATTGCTCTTGTATTACTGGTCTGGTGGTGGCAGCAGAGGTGACTCTAGGGTTTTGTTCAGAGCTTAGGTCACGTCATACTGGGTGTAGAATCCTAAGTCGGTCAATCGTCTTAGGACCACGTGGCGTGGAGTTGGCTTTGGTAAAAGTTTTGGAGTCCCTTGGTAGAGAATAATAAGTAAGAATACGGGTAGAGGGAGTAGAAAGAAGGAAGTAAAGATAGAGGAATGGCCGAACCCGTGTTACAAAGGTGAGGTCCCCTAGGTGATGTCTCCAAGGTGAGGTCCCCAAGGTGAGGTCCCCAAGGTGATGTCTCCAAGGTGAGGTCCCCAAGGTGATGTCTCCAAGGTAAGGTCCCCTAGGTGATGTCTCCAAGGTGAGGTCCCCAAGGTGATGTCTCCAAGGTGAGGTCCCCAAGGTGATGTCTCCAAGGTAAGGTCCCCTAGGTGATGTCTCCAAGGTGAGGTCCCCAAGGTGATGTCTCCAAGGTGAGGTCCCCTAGGTGAGGTCCCCTAGGTGAGGTCCCCCAAGGTGAGGTCCCCAAGGTGAGGTCCCCCAAGGTGAGGTCCCCAAGATGAGGTCCCGCAAGGTGAGGTCCCCCAGGTGAGGTCCCCTAGGTGAAGTCTCCATGCTTAGTCGCAGTATTCCTGATAGAGGCGCACCACCAGAGATCTTTACAGTTGAACAACCATTTTCTTTTCCTTAAACTCAAAAGTTTGTTTGGTTATTTCTAAGGTTCGTTTGACTTTCTTTTAACCCAAGCTCCTACTTGCTGAGCAACTTTCAAAGACTGGTGGAACAAACTCCTGCATCTTACTCTTTGTCACTCTGCTGCTTGGTCGTGTTGTTGATATGGCACCATTATTATGTCCTACATGCAAGTTACTTGCATTTGTAAATATTGAAAAGCATTTGCCCGTCATAAGACCATTCAGAAAAAAAAATTATATAGATCGCTTTGCAAATCGTCAGAATAGTTTTCGCTTCCCACTTCACCATAGATCTTCGTGTTATGTAAACACTTGATGATGTGGTTTGTTATTTTCTCATCAATGTCGTTGATGTATGTTACAAAAATGATGGGTCCCAAGATGGACCCTTGCGGTACTCCACACCTAACATTTTTCTAGTCCCATTAATTTCCATTTAGGACGATATTTGCTTTCTTAGTTTTAGTTTAGTTTAGTTCATTTATTATGCACCCCATACCCATCTTGTGGGCGGTAGTGGAAAGGGTTACAGAGGCACATAATGGGCTCAGGGACTTTGCTTTAATCATTGTTTTATCCAATCTAGTATTTTGCCGTGTATTCCATGTGCTTGTAGACCGTGGCAGCTTTTCGCGATCCCTTATGAAGACCTCATCTAACTTCTTCTTTTACAGCATTTAATTTCTTCTTATCCGTCCTTTCATGTTTATAAGTTTTTATGTTGATCGATTAAGACAGCAAAGCTGGCAATTTACGCTACATAAATCAGTTACAGCCCCGCTCCTGTGCCGGGTAAGTCCACTACGGGCTCACCATAGCCCGTGCTACTTGCAACATTTTGTTCCCAGGAGCAGCATCTAACCCAACAATAGCAACAGCCAAATAAATAAAGTTATGGTGATGTTGGTCAAGCGTTTGAGGTGCTTGTGTGTTGTTGTTTACCAGTGGCAGGCAAGCACAGGTGTTCAGTCATCACACTCCTGATTATGGTGCTCAGACGCTGGTATTTAAGCCTAGTGGCGCACCACCGAGAGTCCTCAGTGCTTCTGGCAGCAGGCAAAGAAGTCTTGGCTGTGCTTCCGTGACGCAACTAGTTGCTGGCAGCCAGAGTCTGAAGCATCATCAGTATGGAGACTCACTACTTCCGTGTGGTCTTCGTGGCGTCAGTCCTCGTCGCCATCGTCAGCTGTCAGGTAACGTAAGACTGACATAAGTACGTCTGAAGACGTCTAAGTGGTTTGGTCTTGGGATTAAGACCTATCAAACGCTGTTTTTTTTTAAGGCCACCACAATAGCTTATAGATTAACCAATAAGTAAAAAAAAACTCATTGCTACCTCTTTATTGCTAGGTGAACAAAGGTATCAGATGAAAGCAAAAGAGCCCAAACGTCTCCTTCCTGCACTTGCGGTTACAGACCGGCTGCACTGACCACTACAGTACCACATCAGTCCTATAAATTACAAACCAACAATAATGTGGACAATCAAATTTCAATAACTTGGACTATTGGAGCCTCGAATTCGGGACCACAACAGCTGGTTCCCGAAGTCCTACCAACCGCACTATGAACGCCCACAATAAGGAAGTCTCTCAGACTTTCTGGTGTCCAACTGGGACTTTAAGCCTCAAGTAAGCCTCTCCTGGGGCGCCACGGAGGTGTTGAGCTGATTCATGACGTCCTAGTCATATAAAATGCAAACCACAATAACCTGGTAAACAAAAATCGCTTCGTTAACCTGGTATTAACATTTATTTAACTTATAAACCGCATCAGTCCTAGTGGGAGCCCACCCTGACCAACGTTAATGAAAGAACGTGTGCAACTCGCCCTCTTTAATATGCCTGGAACATTAAAGCACGTGTCCCAAGTCAGCTACACTCTGGCAGGACACAGGGAGAGCGTAAATACACTATCCATCATCTATATAGATCGTCATCTTCCGCTGCTCTCCAATGCCTGATCCACCCTTGAGCTTGGTAGAAGAAACAGGTTCCGTATGATACTCTGTGTCACAGTCAAGACACACCCTGCGGTAGCAGCTGGAAATATGTTCCTATCATGACAAGATCATGCTAAGAACTAGAATGGTATGGAGCTCAAGTTATCTTGAGGTTATCTTGAGATGATTTCGGGGCTTTTTTAGTGTCCCCGCGGCCCGGTCCTCGACCAGGCCTCCCAGGAAGCCAGGAAGCCTCCCAGGCCAGGAAGCAGCCCAAATAAGTTGTATTAGCCCAAGCAGCCCAAGTTGCATTAATATAATTAATAATTCATTGTGTCGGGGATATCAATGTTTATATATACATGTTAGGGTTATATTTAACCCATCCACCCTTCCTGGGTTGAATTACAGGCCCTCCCCCAAGATGCAACCGCACAAGCTGACTAACTCGTGGGTACTTAGTAAAACGATAACTGTGGAACCCGACAACATCTCGCCCATGGACACATATGAAAGCCTCGCACAATGCCCTCCATCCTATCACCATATGCAAGACTCGTCTCAAAACTGAGGGAGACTGAGCTGCGGGTACAGACTAATGGAGCTAAATCTGTTGATACTAAGAAAAATAAGTAGAGGGGACATGATGCTGATATACAAAATACTCAAGAGGTATCAATAAAATGGAGAGAAGAATGTTTAGGTCGAGTACTAGGCTAGCGAGCAGACGCACATAGAGCTAGACGCGCAGGAGAGCCACGGGGACGTGGGACATATCACTGTTTTAGTGCTTACAGTGCAGTAGGCAAGTGAAACGAACTAAAATCGGGAAATCTCATCAGGAAAAATCAGGGACCTTTGACAGATCGCTGGTTTCCTGTTCTTGCTGAGGCCACTATAGTTGGTGGCCCTCAGGTAAATATTAGAGGTTACATTCATCCATAGACAAAACTAAACAAATGGGTGATGAGTCATTTCATTAAAAGACCGTCAGTATTGTAGATAGTTTGGTAGAAAACTCTTAGGTAATAACAAACCAATAATCAGCTGATAACTGATAACTGATATCAGCTGATAACTGATATCCACTCATAACATAAGCAATGTAACATTACGTGTCTTGAAACATTAATGATCCGGAATAGTTCCACTCATTTCAAATGATTAATTATTTAAATAGAAGTTATCACCATGAAAGCCTAAACTGCAGAGTATTTAACATATAATTTGAATCACAGCGAGAGAAAATATATAAATCCTGCCACTGACACACACCATAATACAGGTGGTAACTGATGTTCATCTTGCATTACAGAGTAAGTGTTCCCTCGGGTGTGACCGAGACCTGGAAATGAGGAAATGCTACGGGTAAGGTACTTGTGCAGGTTTGGTACTGCTGCAGTTACGGTGCATGGTGCTCGTGTAGGTATGGTGCATGATACTGCTGCAAGCATGGTACTGGTACAATTATGGTGAACGCTTCTGGTAAAACTACGATTCTCGGTGCTGCTGCAGGTATGGTGGCGCTGCCATTCATTGAAGAGTTATATAACCACTTTCTTTCCTTGAAGCCTAAGGTACGTTTAACTGTTCCAAAGGTTCGTTTGGCTTTTTTGTTCTTTTACTACAACTCCCACTTGTTGTGTAACTTACAATGGCTGGTGGAGCCTAACTCCTAGTTCGCTTTCTTCAACAATCTTGTTCTTAGTGTTCTCAATTTATTTTGATGTCCGTTGATATGTCCTGTATGCATTTTTCAATACAATACAGTCTTCAAGTGCTGAAGTTTTATAATATTGAAAATCAGGTGTTGTTGTGGGTTCAGTAAGTACATTAATTTTAAAGGTTTCAGTCATTCGTGTCCAACGAAGACATGTTGGAGTTGGAAGTTTAAGCAGATGTTAAGACTGCATGGGAAAATGCAAATAATTTGATGAAATCTTTACAACAAAATTTTGGGAAATTTTAATTATTATTTTGATGGTGATTGCGTGTGTTGATGAAGTAGCGATGAGTGAGCCTGGCTAGAAGGACATTGTAGAAAATAAACGTAAAATGTTTGTAGTAAGACTCGTTTCTACTTCTAAAAGTAGAAAAGATATTTTAGACGTTGTATTGAGAGTAGGCAAGCGATGAGAGCTCTTAAGAGATATTACGAGGGGCAATTCACTCCAGTTTACTTGTCAGTTGCAGGAATGTAACTCTTGGCCTCTTATTGACCTAAATGTCATTCCTCTTCCATGGCGACTTCTACTCTCTGTGGTAGATGTTTTCATTCATCAGCTGGCGCCCTATAGGATGTCTGATCATATATGGCGAAAGAAAGAATTAATTCATTTTCTTTGTCCTCTTGGTAACCATGGCTGCTCCAATAACGGGCCTTACCAGCTTTACAAAGTGGTTTCATAGACAAATTGACATGATTTTTCTCATGTTTTTCTCTACCTAGGGTTGGCTTGACCAAATCCTGCGTCCCGGGGAGAAAATCCATAATTCCTTGGTTAATATTGTGATTTTTTTTTTTTTTACTTTTATCTACTGATGCCCAAAACTTTCGAGAAAATTGAGAAAATTTGAGAAAATTCTCAAAAAAATTTGAGAAGTTAAAACATAGACACTCGTGAACAGTGACAAATATCTATGTGATAACGACAGGAGCCCAATATGCAGTTTTGTTTGTTAAATATTTTCTAAAATTGCAGCGTGTACGGACAACGGACAGTGTGTGACTCTTGGAGGTCAATGTCAGCTGAAGACTGCAGTGTGCAATGGCATCCCCTGGAACAAGGGCTGCAAGAATGTCAGCTGCTTGTGCTGTCTGCCTGGTCAGTTGTCCACTCTGGTTTACCATATTAAGAATCTGTTGAGTCTCAAGATAGCTTTAATGAAACAGTTAATGAAAGTTTTTATTTCATACAAACGTAGTACACTATTGTTGTTTTATATTATTCATCATAAAAATATTTTGTTGTTTGGTATATTGAATCACTTTGAATATATAGATAATTGTTAATGTAACAATGGTTATTCCACTCAAGCAACTGTGACCCAATGCATCAGCAAGCCTTGGTGCACGACACTTGGCGGCACCTGCCAAAGTGCCTCCACCAGCTGTACCAACATGGTGGCAGTGAGCAAGGGCTGCCGTACTGCCTCCTGCTTCTGCTGCGTTCCTAAAAGTAAGTTTCCCTTATCTCCCTCTCTTATGGGTACAGGCATTTCCTTACCACCCCCCCCCCCCCTCTCTTAAGGTTAACACTCCGTTTTCTTAACCGTTGTTGCGCTTGACACATTGCATTCCACCAGATTTAATTTATAGACAATACTGTAGTTGGCGTAATGAAGAAAACTAACAACAGAGTAATGTGATGTAGCCCGCGATTAACTGTTACCCGCACCTTCCCTGCCCCTCTCATAGGTGCTCTTGGTTTACGAAAACTGCTTCCTTTTTGGCCTAAATTCACCAGGACACCATTTCAAGCTTCCTCGATTGGAACAAGAGGCCGACGGCAAGTCATAGGATCTCCCTAAAGCTTTAGTTCTGGTACAGTGACTCTCCGGCCTCGTCACCAGACCCCACAACTGAACGTGTACGAGATTTACTGTGATGTTTACATCCGTTTAGATAACCAGTATGACAATGTTGATGAGGCAGGTCCACCCCATCAATCATGGGAGCTACCAGACGTACCCCTCAGACGCCTCCACTGCCCACAGTCGAGAATAGTGAAAATGGAGGAAGTATAGAGCAGTCACTCAGAAGCCAAATTATGACGAAGAGTCACAGCCTAATGATGATGGAAATACAGATACTAGGGGCTGCGGGAGGGAGTTAGAGCTACGCCTCCTAACAACTATTGAATGAGGGCAACCCTGAGATGGCGAACGATACTGCACATTCTCCCTGGCCAGCCCGTTCTCTCCAGCGTTAACAACGTCACTAAACTGATGTACTAAATTGCCCGATCTTAATCTAACTTAGGACCCGTGAATTGAAAACGGGAAATCATGTCAATTTTGCGAGCCGCTATAATTGTTAATAGTTTTTGGCCTTAGGGGATTTATACGTCACAATGTGATGTACTATTCGAGAGGCGGAGTTGCTGGCAACAGACTGCCCAAAAATGTGCCTAGTTATGGCAGCCAGAAGACTCCCGGGTGATGAGTTTTGGTTTGCAAACGGACAGGAATAATATTACTTTTTGATAATTTGATATAAGGTTTTTGTACCAATGAGTATCATAATGCATTCGTGAGTGTGTGTGTGCTTGAAGAGGAAATGGTGTCCACAAGCCCATTGTAAATATTTGTGTTATACCAATGAACAAGCAGGTATAAAGATGCATTCTCCTCCACAGCCTGTTAGTACGAACTGTTAGAACAACTTGAGCAATTAGAAATTCCAAAAGAGTTAAGGACAAGGAAGTTATCACCACACACTGGACCAGTGAGCGGCCTCCACCAAACATGCACTGACCAACGTGAACATCCCGACAACTTGTAGCGAGGAACCCAACCACTTTGACTGGACGGTCTCGCTTCATGTAGGTCGGGGTTCAATCCCAGACCATCCAAGTGGTTAGGCACCATTCCTTCCCTCCGTCCCATCTCAAATCATTATCCTGACCCCTTCCAAGTGCTATAAAGTCGTAATGGCTTGGCGCTTTCCCCTGATAATAAAAAAATTAATTCGTAGCGAGGACCTACCCAACCAAACGCACATGTCAACCAGGGACTCATGTTGCAAGAAACTCTTGGTATAATCTGTTGTGTGGCTTCTGTGTCTGCGGGTATGCAACAGGTGTATGCGATGATGGAGAATAAAGCAATAATAGTTTATATATACTATAAATCTAGAAGATCGGTTACATACATAAAAAAAGGATGGGTCCAAGTACAGAGCCCTGTGGGACTCCGCTGGTGACATCTTGCCACCCTTAAGGTCTCCTCTTACTCCTCACAGTTACTCGTTGTTGTTGTAGATTCAGCTACTCGGAATAAAGGTTCCAAGTAGCATGGGCTATGGTGAGCCCGTAGTGGACTTACCTGGCACAGGAGCGAGGCTGTAACTTGTCATTCGTTGTTTCCCGTTGCTTAGATAATCCCTTTATCCACTGGAGCACCTTACCTTTTATTCCTGCCTGTTTCTCCAACTTTTGTAACAGCCACTTATGGGGGACTGTGTCAAAGGCTTGTGTGTTTGTATGTGTGTGTGTGTGTGTGTGTGTGTGTGTGTGTGTGTGTGTGTGTGTGTGTGTGTGTGTGTGTGTGTGTGTGTGTGTGTGTGTGTGTGTGTGTGTGTGTGTGTGTGTGTGTACTCACCTAGTTGTACTCACCTAGTTGTGTTTGCGGGGGTTGAGCTCTGGCTCTTTGGTCCCGCCTCTCAACCGTCAATCAACAGGTGTACAGATTCCTAAGCCTATAGGGCTCTGTCATATCTACATTTGAAACTGTGTATGGAGTCAGCCTCCACCACATCACCCCCTAATGCATTCCATTTGTCAACCACTCTGACACTAAAAAAGTTCTTTCTAATATCTCTGTGGCTCATTTGGGCACTCAGTTTCCACCTGTGTCCCCTTGTGCGTGTTCCCCTTGTGTTAAATAGACTGTCTTTATCTACCCTATCAATTCCCTTCAGAATCTTGAATGTGGTGATCATGTCCCCCCTAACTCTTCTGTCTTCCAGCGAAGTGAGGTTTAATTCCCGTAGTCTCTCCTCGTAGCTGTGTGTGTGTGTGTGTGTGTTAGTTACTGAATAGGACCGAAAGCATTTTATCAAAGATTCTAGCACGAATCTGTATATTTTGTATTCTTCACTTATGTTGATTTCGTTTATGTTTACAGTAATAACAGGCTCAGGCTGCTTGGACAACGGAGAGTGCTACTCCAGGTATGGAGGTTACTGCTTCACGAAGGGCGTTCACTCATGCAAAGGCATCCAGTGGGACGGTGGCTGCTCTGGCACGACGTGTTCTTGCTGCGTCTTGGGTGAGAAGCCTAGCATTATCACCTCTCACTCTCATCTTCATTTCATTTATGAAACTAATATAACCCCGTGGGAGAGCATGGTAATCGTGGCATGACTAATTTACTGCCTTCAGCAAATTTGCTAATGTTGCTGTTCAGTCCCGTATCTAAAGTGTTTATAAACAAGTGTTTATAAACAATTGAGGGCCCGGGACAGAGCCCTGAGGCACCTCACTTGCAATATTTCCATAGTTAATCGGTCTTGACGTCATGTATGTTGACTGTTTCCTTCTTAATGTCCTTGAAAACATAGTGATTTTAGCACTAACAGTTAGGTTGAGCGAAGAGTGATGTTATAATGTGGTGGAATTAAAATAAGTTAGGTATTGAAGCATTAATGAATACTAAATTTCAACTGGGATTGCGGCCGTGATGACCCAGGAAATTGGTAGACCCTAAACTGTCACCAAACCCCAAATTGCAAGAATGTTTCACTAGGGTCGTGCAATTAATTATGCCGGTATACCAAGCCAGATGGGAAATATAGTCCCCATTTCAAGATGATCATTAATTTTTTTTTCAACTGTAACTACGCATGATTTGCGTGTGGGTAAATACATGTATATAGTGTGTAAGATGCACTTACAAGTAACACAACTGAATAATAGAACTAGAACGATTTACAAAAGAAGTAATGGCAAGCAATTTTATGTAAATAGGCTCCCTCAAAATCATAGACCCATGCCAGCTGGCCTACCTGGCCCCTCCCACTCTGTTCTGACCTGTATTTCATTAAATATTTAATTACACAAAAATTGTTTTTGGGTAGTGGCTATATGGCACTGCTGATCAATATATCTTGATACTGTGAGTACCTTTTGCCCCATGGCACTGCTGATCAATATATCTTGATACTGTGAGTACCTTTTGCCCCATGGCACTGCTGATCAATATTTCTTGATACTGAGTACCTTAGGCCTCATGGCACTGCTGATCAAAACAAGGGTTGGACTTGCAGGGGAGTCGACGTGCGTGACCAAACAGCTCTGTAAGAACAATGGTGGGACTTGTGTCAGCCCGGCGGCCTGCACCAAGCCCAACAGGAACCCCAACTGGTGTCTGGGTACGGGCTGTACATGTTGTTATTAAGGTAAGATTTCTACTTTTGTTTCACCGTCTGCCTAGGCCTCTTACTATCATCAGTATCTGCATATTTGTAACGTAAACAGTTTTCTTAGTGATTCTTAGGCTATCAAATCTCAAATGATGTTATCCTTCTCTCGCTATCAGACTACAATTTGCATCACAATTGCCATATTGAAAACAATACCATACTACAGATTTAAAAAAAAGAGGATTTCAGCCAAATAATAAACCAATTAGTTTTGAGTTGCCTTCTTAAAACCAACGAACACCGCTGGGTATCCAGTTTACATATGGAAGAAAGCAAAAAGATATATCAGACATTTATATTTTAGGGTGTTACTTTTATGGTAAGTTCAGATAACTACAGTATAACTGGTTATATTCAACAGGAAGACGGTCACATGGAATACGGACGGACGATACGTGTGTGTGCGTGTGTAATATGTAAAGCAAGAAAGAAGGAAGCCCTCATGTAACACTAGAAGACGCAACCGTGACACAGATAAGGGATACCAGTGATAATGTTTACACAATTTGAGAATATATATATATATATATATATATATATATATATATATATATATATATATATATATATATATATATATATATATATATATATATATATATATATATATATATATATATATATATATGTATATATATATATATATGCGGAAAATCCACAGAGAAATGGGAAAGAGAGATGAACGTTTCGGCCGATCTGGGCCTTTGTCAACACCTGACTGGATCAGGTGTTGGTCTGGACCAACACCAAAGGCCCAGATCGGCCGAAACGTTCATCTTTCTTTCCCATTTCTCTGTGGATTTTCCGCAGACAAATGATCAGTGTTTAGTGATCGTCAATTGCATATATATATATATATATATATATATATATATATATATATATATATATATATATATATATATATATATATATATATATATATATATGAATGACAGTGTCAGACCACGGAGGAAATTGAAAGAGGAATTTCCTTAAGTACTTTCGTATATTAATAGATCTTCAGAAGGAGTGTATTACTCCTACTGAAGATGTATTAATATACGAAAGTACTTAAGGAAATTCCTCTTTTAATTTTCCTCCGTGGTCTGACACTGTCACATTTTTAATCGCGTGTTTATTTTCGTGATATACACACACATATATATTAACTGGTTAGTGAGTGGTATGGAAGCCACTTAGAACATATCTGACTCATGGGATCTTCTCACATATCTTGCTTTTAATGGTTTTAACATATTGGTGATGGGCTTAGAAAGCATCCTGATGATGCATGAGAATAGCTCCTGTATAATATGGATTTTCCATGACAAAATAAAATGATACAAGTAACGATGGTTTTAACTCTCCCGTCATGGATGACAGAGCAAAAAGGGGCATAATTTTCCATTATATCAAACAAGAGTATACTTGCCTGCTCTGAGAGAGAGAGAGAGAGAGAGAGAGAGAGAGAGAGAGAGAGAGAGAGAGAGAGAGAGAGAGAGAGAGAGAGAGAGAGAGAGAGAGAGAGAGGGAGAGAGGGAGATGGGGGGAGGGTCAAGTGGAAGGATAGGGCACTTAAACAACGCCTTCACCTGATGCCTTTGTTGACGTAGCAGTAAATAGGAACCTTGGAGTTCCACAGACACACCTCGCGTTATCCTGGGGAGGACTTACAGGTCACCAATCCAATACTGTTCATCCAGCAGTAATTTAAGATCTGGTTGTAAACCGATTGGTGGGTTGTGTTCCAGTGGAAAGCTAGTAGGGGTACGGCTCATCATGAGCCATGGGAAGGGAAAGCTCTCAGCCTGCTAACAGTATTGTGTAAAAAAGAAATAGTGTGTGGATGGAGATACGGGAGGCTGCACAGGTGTTTGATTATTGACAGCTCACACATGTTCTGCCACATGTTGTCTGTGCGTCAGCATAGTATGCCGTTGTATGTATGTATGTATGTATGTATGTATGTATGTATGTATGTATATATATATATATATATATATATATATATATATATATATATATATATATATATATATATATATATATATATATATATATTGAGAGAGAGAGAGAGAAAGAGAGAGAGAGAGAGAGAGAGAGAGAGAGAGAGAGAGAGAGAGAGAGAGAGAGAGAGAGAGAGAGAGAGAGAGAGAGAGAGAGAGAGAGAGAGAGAGAAATTTAATTCTAGATATATTAATAAAAATATTGAAACATTATTGTAATCTTTTTATATTGATTAGATGTGAACATGCAGTGCAGGTGTTCTAATGTTGCTTCCTGTGATCAATGTTGCAAGATGCTTCCTCTAATTGATGTTATGTATTGTGAAGTTGATTTTGTGACGAGTCCACATATCCAAAATTCCGTGATTATATAAGAACCATGTATTAATGAACTAACATGAAAAGCAAATCAGTACAAAAGAAATACTTTTCATCAACTAGGGAGCCATGATCAGAGACCGGGCCGCAGGGACACTGATCCCATGAATAAACACAAGGTAAACAAGGTAAGTTTGTTTACATGGACCTGTGGTGTTAGCTCTGGAGTCGCATAAATGTGATCTCATCTCACTCAACCCATCTCGATAGAGATCAGATTAATTAATGATAGTTACACTAACACCAGAACCTTGTTTTAGGGTATAACCGTCAATATTGTGTACCTGTATCCATAGTAACAGTAGCTACTATCATTCCCGGATGAGAGGTCGTATTGGTAGAGGTGCAGATCAAAGAAATAATATGCAGGTACCCGCATACGGAGCCACTGACACAGGGAAAACGCTCTGTTGATATAACGGAATCTTTGTAAAAACCGGCCTCCAGCCTCAGAGAGATATGAAGACAGACTATTTATTTAATAGACATAGATATGAAGTCAGTATCACCGGTGAGGCACAAAAGTAAACTAGAAAAAGTGCAACAAGAAAAAGCCACGAGGATAGATTAGGGAAACACAACGCAAGAGGACATAAGCGCAGGGGACATGACCACAGGAGATGGGTTGAGGGGCCCCGAAACGAATCAATATTCCCTGAGGCCCCCTAGAGTAGCGTTGAGGGATATACACGTAATTGCTGTACCCTGGTGCCCCTAGAGTAGAGTTAAATGACATGTTACGAATCATTATTCCCTGGTGCCATAGCGTAAGAGCTGGGTCCACTCTCCTCAAAAAGACTGCGTGTTGTACGCACTTTTGTGTATCAATTTACAATAATTATATTCCCTAAAATAAAATAACATCTAATCTTAAGGGCATGAACCTAACATAGGTTTGTAATTAACTGACGTAATTATAAGAAGTGCAGGTTCGATGCAACTGTTAATGTGAAAATGTCCGATGACGTCCAATAAAACCTTTGGGCCTCTGTAATCCTTCTTGCGCTACCGCTCACATGATGGGTATGGGGCGCACAATAAACTAGCCACACCAATCAAATCTTTTAACCCTAAAGTTAGCATGTTAGTGTTACCCACCTCCATGTTCTATGCTACATCTGCCTATGGTCGTCCTTCCATAAGTCTCACTATTAAAAAGCTTGAGATTAATTAAAAAAATATATAATTAAGTAATAAGAATAATATATGTGCATATATTAAGAACACAATAAACTTCAAGGTTCAACAGCAACAGTTGACGGAACATTAACTGGTGTTTCATATGTTGTTCACAAGTGTTTGAGCAACACAGGTAAGACTTATTGCCTCAGAATCATATCTTATCTCACACACTTCCACTCCTCGTCTCCTCCTCACATTCTGCTCACATCTATTAATAAAATATTGTGACGTGCTTCAGAGAATATATATATATATACATATAATAGAGACTATATATATATATATACATATAATAGAGAATATATATATATACAGTATATATATATATATTATATTTAAACAAGGAAAGGATCCCAAGGACACCACTACCCTAATGGAGCTTGCCTAGCCCCCGTGGCTACCACTCAAACTGAGAATTAGGTATTCCACGCCCCCTTAGTCATATAATATAATATAAACATGTATATGACTTAAGGCATAGAATACCTTATTCTCTTGTGCTTGAGTGGTAGCCACGGGGGCTAGGCAAGCTCCATTAGGATCCCACCGGCACCAGCAAGGCTGGAGAAGAGTTACTCCATTACTGAATACCTTCACTGTAGGACAAATTGTCTACAGTTGACCAATTCAGTATGACACAACTAGCTCACGACACAGATATGTAACTCTATATATTGTTCAAGGTATCCGGATTAAGGCGAATGTTTACCTAAGTCACTACAACTAGAGAAACACAGCAACATACCATAAGCTTCAGGATTTGTAGATCAGTGTTTACAAGAATTTCAGAAGTAATAATAATACAGCTTATGCCACCTGTTGACATCAAGTTACACTATTAACAAGCCACAGTACAAGATACAGGTAACGCCATCTGTTGCGTCAACATTGAACTATCAATAGCCAAACAGTTAGTTTAGTTTAGTTCATTTATTATGCACCCCATACCCATCTTGTGGGCGGTAGTGGAAAGGGTTACAGAGGCACATAATGGGCTCAGGGACTGAACCCCACAATTCATTTAGCTAAGCAAGTTACAATCTTGATGAGCTAGTTACAAAATTCAATATAAGTCATCACATCAACAATGGGTTCGAGATCGACCTCAAGTACAGGTTCCAAATTAAGCAACTGACATATGTGGAGAGCTAGTGTCAAAATTTATATGTTTGTCCTGCACACCGCCCCCCATCCAGTGGGCAGCGGTGGATAGGTTACAATCACTTAGTTACTACCTACAGTTAGCAAACTGGGGATATTTGGCTAAAATTTCTGGTAGCAGATCATTTTGAATGAAATATTGACACATCGCTGGAACATTGGTTATAGAATTGTCTCTAAATTCACGTATCTTTTCGCACTCCATCACATAGTGACGGAGGGTGTGCGAATAATTTTGTTGACACAGTTTACATTTGGTCAGGTCTACATCAGCAGATAATGAGAATTCCCAGAGATACTTGTAACCGAGTCTAAGCCGAGCAGTAGTAACATCTAGAAGTCTGCTGATTTTATTGGATGATCCATAGATGTGTGGCTCCTCTTGCATGATAGTATGATGATAGATGGAATTACTGGTGTCAATTTCACTTTGCCTCAGATCTACAAGATCTTGTTGAAGTTCTCGGTGTACAGCTGCTCTCAGATTGCTCATTGACAATCCAAGGTTACACTCAACGGCTCCTTTAAAGGCAGATTCTTTGGCTAACTTATCAGCTCTATCATGCATTCGGAGGCCAACATGAGATGGAGACCACATGAAATGGACTCTGTTACCATCCTTAATAATTTTGTTGTATTTGTGTCTAGCTTCGGACACGAGCATGTTACAGTTATGTCTTAAAGAGTTGAGAGCATTTAAGGATGATAAGGAGTCACTTACAATTAATGTATCAAGTTTTGAGACTTGTACACATTTCAGTGCAAGGATCAAGGCAAAT